AATTTTAAAAAAAGTATGTTAAACGGTTTTATTAGAAAAAATATGATGTAGATAATATACTAAAAACTATTCTACGAAAGTCATTTTTTACCCAAAAAAGGTCGATAAAAAACTAAAAACTAATTCGGAAGGTCCTAGTTAGCTGTTATCACTCCACTCTCCTCGGCAATCTACGGTATTGATTAGATAAAAAAATAATGAAACAGTTGGGCGTAGCGTAACGTGAGTAAATATGTAAATACTACGCCCAACGATCTTATTATTTTTTATCTGATCAATACCGTAGATTGCTGAGGAGAGTGGTGTGATGACTGCTACCCAGGACCGTCGAATTATTTTTTAGTTTTTCAGTTTTTAATACATTATCTACATTATTAATATCTTTGTTTCTTCAATAAAACCGTATAACATAATTTTGTTTATTTATTACATTCTCAAGTTTTTAGTTTCTAATTTTGTTACTCAATTCTTCTCATTCTGTTTAGTTAATTACTGCCTCACTATTACAAGATAATATGTAATCCGCCATTTTGTAGCTGCCGTCATCTTGAATTTGCATCTAAGTCGTTCCCTGTCATTTGATACCCACATTGAAATAGTTGCCGAAACGTTGTGAAAATAATCCTAATATTTTATAGGTACTTGCTATTATATATTACACGATCTATAGTATCTAATGATGCCCTGAAAATGCAGCATTGTGTGGTGGTCTAAATTGGACGGTATCAGATGCATTTTGTTTTATTCAATCGTCATTTGATTTGTGCCTTTATGTCTGGGTTCTTTGGTGGTGTAAGTATATACTTTTTTGTATTCTTCACTACATAGTGTAAAACAAAGTCGCTTCCCGCTGTCTGTCCTTATGTATGCTTAGATCTTTAAAACTACGCAACGGATTTTGAAGTGGGTTGTTTAATAGATAGAGTGATTCAAGAGGAAGGTTTATATTATAACATGCATAATATGGTAGAGAAACGCTGATTATTTTAGAGGTTTCTAATGTGGTGTCGTAAATAAACACATTTTTGCGCTTACATTACGAACGCAGGCTGTATACTACGAGATGGATCAAAAGAATGTACTACAGGATTGTACACCTCAAAACGGTCTACAGAAAATTCCGCGATGGTATATGTCTATCTCTTAGGGATAAGGGATAATCCATAATAACCATTTTTTATCCTTCAATTTTTACGAGAAATAATGGCTTATTTATGAAGCGATTTTAAGAAATACAGCGTTGATCTTTATGCAATCAACTATCTTAAATACATTGTGCATTCATTATAGATCAATATGCCCCTTTACAGCATGTAATTTAAATGAATATTTTCCAAGATTTTACAGATTTAAATGCAGAGACATAGGGGTTGCAGCGGTGCCTGCCTGTAAGTAGCGGCGCGTGCCTGTAAGTAGCACGTCGAAGGCCGCGCTTCGCCCTATGGCACTTTATGATTAGCAGCGATAGCACGCGTTTATATGTATATTTAGTATCAGCATTGCACCTGTGCGGAGCTGGTGCGGTACGCTAGTGTACTGATAAGATGTTAGTTACTTTGTTCACAAAAAATAACTCACACTAGGCAACGGAATGGTTTATATTGAAATTAAGGATAGAATGAAAAGTATAATAAGAACTAGTATTTATAGCTTCTTTTTGTTTAAATCTAAAAATTGAATGAGGAGTTTCACGATTTGAAAATTCTAATTATTGAATACTTGAACCTATCAAAGGGGGTTTCATTGACTCTTATGTTGGGTGCAAATATATCTACATTTATGAAAGTGTTGATCTAGAAAGATATTTCTGTCCTCATTCACAGAAAGTGTGGTCTGCTAATCCTAGTTTATAGAAGGTGTTCCAAATTAAATCGGCACCATTGCCAACTCCGTTATCATTGATGCTACGAATTCGGTTGAATGGGCAAACTAGTATCATTTTCAGTGGCCTTCTCGATGCCGAACAAAAAATCTGACAGTTGCGTTTTCCAAATATTTCTCAAAATGATATTTTTTTAAATGGAATATACTATGTTTTATCATGCATTTCGATTCGTAAAAACATTCTCAACAACAAAGCTCATATCACTTTTCTTTTTAAGTCGAAAATGAGCGACTTATATGGAAATATTTATTTATTTCACTAGTACAAAAAATGTCTTTGTTTTAGCAAATAAAACCTCATGATTGTCCAATCACCCAATTTTGGTACTTATACAAATGACAATATTTTGTTACTAACAGCAAGAAGAAGAAATTGCGTTGGGATTTGAACTAGTGAAACCCGTGGTGTAAAGTGTCGTACCACTCACTTTACACCACTGAGCTATTTGATATTAATTTTCATAATGATAATTTCCATCTTAAAGACATTCCTCTAGCCGTATTTATTTTGTTAATCAAAATATGTCTGCTATAATGATAACAGTGAAGCCGTTTTTGTACAGAACAGAAAATACTGGAACGTCATATTAATATATGGTTGGAAAAAATATGTTTGATTAAATAAAACAGAATTATTATGAGTTTTTAAGTCGCCTTGAAACTTTATTGAAATAATATTCGTCAAATATTCTCATAGGTGTATCATGATAATGTCATAACTACTGTTCGAATAATTTTCGAAATGCCGTTTTCCCATCAAGAAAAATGTGACATGTTAGAATCCTACTTGGTTTGCCAGAAAAATAGCGTAAGAGCACTCCAACACTAGAACAATTCGTTCTCCGATCGTGAATAACCTAATCATCGTTTTTTTTGCTGTGCTTTATCGTGAATTCAAGAACAATGAAAAAGTTTTTGAGAAGAGGAGAACTAAAAAACATTTTGTAATGTCTGAAGATACAGAAATTTGCGTTTTAGCCTACATTGAGGTAAATCCAAATAATTCCACCAGAGATTTATCTAGAGAAATAACTGTTCCATCGTCTGTTATTCAACGAATTCTGAAGAAACATAAGACTCCTCCTTATGAGTTAAGACCAGTGCTAACAATAGAACCTGGTGACCCAGACAGACGACTGGGGTTTTGTCGGTGGTTTATGAATAAATGCAGCAGATAAAATCCAAACTTCTATAGAAATATTATATTGAGCGGTGAGGCTAATTATACAAAATGTGGGATGTATAATAGAAATAATTTTTTTATTGGAGTAGACATAATCCATTTCTAGTCGATCCCCACAATCCGCAAAGAAAATTTAGTATTAATGTTTGGTGTGGTCTATTTAGAGGCAGAATTATCGGTCCATTTTTCTACCATGGTTTTTAGAACGGATCCCGTTCATTAATTTATTAACAAGACTTTTGGAAGAGTTTTTCGATTATCTTGATCTGGAGGCTCGGCAGATGATCTATTTTCAGCAGGATGGTGGAGTACCAGCACATAATTTCAGTGGCGTAAAAAAATGTTGCGAGACTGTTTTGTAAACAGATGGATTGCTACAAATAGTCCTGTTAAGTGGCCTTCTGGTTCACGAGACATGACACCTCAAAATAAACCATAATAATGTAGATGGACTGAAAAAGTATATTGAAACTATAATTTTAATAGAATTGATGGCCGAATTGTGTTGAAAGCAACACGTAGTGTCAAGAAAAGGGCTCAAATATGTGTTCAACAAGAATAAGGCGGTGTTTTTGAAAATTTACTCGATATTTTATAGCTCTTTATTCGCCAAAACAAAAAAAAGTTGTACTAGTGAAAGAAAAATATTTCCACATAAGTCGCTCATTTTCAACTTTAGGAAGAGAGGTGACATGAGCTTTGTTGTTGAGAATGTTATTACGAATCGAAATATAATTTTATGAAATATTTTAAAACGCGACCGTCATTTTTTTTTGTTTTCGGCATCGAGAAGGCCATTAAAAATGCTATTATAGTTTGCCCATTTAACCGAATTTTTAGCATCAAAAATAACGGAGTTGGCAATGGTGCGACTTAATTTGGAACACCCTGTATAAATGTTTTTACTGAGGCAATGTCTTGTTAACCGTCTAATTATAGTTGTGGTGATGCAAGTACTAGGACGTTGATATAGTGCGTTCTGGTTTTTTGAGGATACGTTCGGATTGATGAATATGAATCCCCTGTTCTGGTTTTGACTGAGAAATAATATGAAACTGTCCTGAACCATTACAAATCGTTCTTGCTCTCGAGGCTGAATCATAGAAATTAATATAGAGCATGCGTATTCACGTGAAAATTTGTTTGGATTGGTTTCTAGGATATCTTTTTCATTTATTTAATTTTGTTAGCTGGTGATTGAGTTATGTAACATTTGAACTGGATTTTTGACTACAAGGATACACTACATAATAAAATTGACACAGTCAACAATATTTTATCGTCTTCATTATCATCATCCTCATCTTTCTGACAATGATGAGCCAATTCTTCAAATTCTAAGTGCTGCAGAACATTAGGTTTGTATAGGTACTTTATACTGAAAAAGTGCGAGAATTTTCTCTCTACTAAAAAAATTATCTACATATTTATTTTCACTGTTGGGGTTCAAAAATTCCGAAAGTTGATAGATCTGAAAAATATTCCATTATTAATCATATAATTTTTATTATTAACACCTAATTTTTACGTGACATAGTTACAGAAATGATGAAGAAAATGAAAAAATTAACAAAACTGAAGTGTTAAACGTTTCAATTTGAATGTGAACATCAAAAAACTTTTCAATTACAACCAATTCAAACTATGACTATATTTTAAATTTTCCTGCCAAATTTTAACTCTTCATATATACGAAAAATAAAGCAGTAATCTCTTCAAAATTCGATCTGGTATTCGATACTAACCACAGATATATAGGTACTATATATACTTATAGTAACTCGGGACAGTTTGGAATTTTTTGCTTCTACTCAGTTTCCAAACATTTTCGAATGTTAGAACCAGAACGAACAAACCTGTTGTGTGATCCGCAGGTGGAATAGTACTCGTGACGTCACTCTTAATCTATATATTAACATGTCTATGGTTTTGTGCTTTGATAGTGTGTCATGTCTGTTTTAGCAGTTTTAGGTTAAGTTGAAAAAATAAGATGGAATTTTGGAAAAACAAGTTAGGCTCTCCCGTGAGAATAGTTGCTCCTATGGTAGATGCTAGTGAACTACCTTGGAGATTATTGAGTCGAAGGTATGATGCTCAACTATGCTACACTCCAATGTTACATAGTAGTATATTCTGCAATGATCCTAAGTACAGAAAAGAAGCCTTAGCTTCTTGTGAAGAAGATAAACCCTTGATAGTTCAGGTGAGATAATTCGAGAGAATAATATCAGTATACTGAGTCAACTGTAGGTAAAACTGGATATGGATTTTAGTTTTGTGGAAATGATCCTGAAATCATGCTTCAAGCAGCACTCCTAGCTGAGGACTATTGTGTCGCTATTGATATTAATTTAGGTTGCCCTCAGGCTATAGCTAAAAGAGGACACTATGGTTCTTTTCTACAAGATGAATGGCCTTTATTGCAAAAAATTGGTAAGTTTCAACAGTTGAGGGTTGGTGGACAGGTTGACACCAAGAGGTAAGTCGCAAGTCAAACGAAATCGTAAGAAGTGAGTCATTAATTTGCAGTGGAAACATTCATGCACGAACATAGATATTATCTTCACTTATTCACAATATCTAGGAGCATAGGTTGTAAATTTTCTAAAGTAGGAAGTGAACAATATAAATTTTCAAAACTCAAAAACTTGTGACCAACAACTCAAGACTGGTGCATGAATCCACCCTATAATCATTTATATTCAATCATATTTTTGATAAGTTGGAGTTTGAAGTTAGATTCCATAAAATAATACTTGTTGGCATATAATGTACCATATATTCAAGGATACAACCATTTATATTTGTTTTTATGGTCAGTTTTGTTCTGATTCCTGGTCTCTGAAAGTAGTAAAGAAAAGTGTTCTATAAAAAGTTTGGTTCATATGGTAGTAGCTAATTGCATACTGTCAAATAACTTCTGCCTGTTATGAACAGGGAAGTCAGTTTTATTATCTTGAACATTTTTATTATTTGAGGCACTCATAATTCGTTAATGACCTCAATTATGTTGACATCTATAGGCACAGCAATGTTAGTAATATTTCTGCTATTTTTAACAATTTTTTTTTTCATTAGGATATTTGATGAAAATGACACCAAGTGAAATGATAACTCTACCTGATTTTGATGGATTAACCAATCAATATCTCTTGTAATGCATACAGTATCAAACCATAACTAACATAACTGCCTAAATTTTGGTTATAATTTTCTTTTCTATGTTCTTCGAATTAACTTTGGTTCCAAATAATTTTGGATCCAGTTGTAGTCACCTCCTGATGGTTGTAACTTGGTTAGCAAAACGAAAAAAAATTCTCTCGTGTGAGAACATTGTATTATTTAAATTTATCTCTGGCGGCTGAAAGACATCTATTTTTATAAATAAACTGAGTACAATATTTACAATTATATATTAGCAAATTCCAGCATATTTTTTGTATTCCCAAGTAGCCTTGTGATAATTGTAACCTTGTGGTAATAGTCTCCACAATATTGTAAATGAAAATACTCATTTCAAGTACCTAAAGACATCTCGTCAATACAAAACTACTTGATATAGATAATAGATCAAAATATATATTTTGTCGAAATGTTGAACATTCTTTATGTTAAATATAAAAATTATTCAATATCCTATTTCAGTAAGTACCCTGAATAGTAATTTAAAAGTACCTGTCACCTGCAAGATTCGAAGATTTGAGAGTATTGAAAAAACAGTTAGGTATGCTAAAATGTTGGAATCTGCTGGATGTAAAATGTTGACTGTACATGGTAGAACAAGAGAACAAAAAGGACCTCTCACTGGTTTAGCGGACTGGAGTTATGTTAAGGCAGTAAGGTAAAATTTAGAACTTCTTAATTTCATTGTGCAGTCATTCCCTTTAGTCATTTTTTCAAGGGAGGCTCTGAGTATTCCAGTTATATCGAACGGCAATATCCAATGTATTCAAGATGTTGAAAGATGTTTAGAAGACACTGGCACTGTAGGAGTAATGGTAGCAGAGGGAAACTTGTATAATCCTGCATTATTCAAAGGAGATAATCCCCCTTCATGGATACCTGCCTTTGAGTATTTAGATTTGGTGATAAAATATCCTTGTCCATTGTCATACGTCAGAGGTCATCTTTTCAAATTATTTCACCATGTGTAAGTTTTTTGTAAAACAAAAGTACCATATTTTTTGTAGAACGAAAGTACCATCATTATTTCAATAAACTTGGTGTGACACATGTTTCAGCAACCAAGTTGGCATCTTCAGGAGATGAAGACACCAACTTGGTTGGTAAAATACGTTCTGAGAATATTATTGCATTTCTGAGTTTCTCAGTTTCACCTTTTATATGGTCCCTCTCAAAATGAATGGTTTTAGAATTTTAGTTCTACAACTTGAATACAAATATTGTTTAACTTCTGAATAGTGTTGAACTGTCGTTGATTACAGATGTGAATACTATAACTATATATAGTCCAGAAAGTATGATCCCACTGATCCCAGTGTTTGTAATAACACACTTTCTGTAGAACCTGTCAAAGTGACCTGATAATTTTGGTAGTATTAGAGTCACTTTGGTGTAAACGTTTTGTATGCAATTCCGAACATATCTGGAACGTAGTATATACAAAAATTCTTCAAATCGACTAAAGTAAAACTTATTATTTTCGTAGGCTTACTGTTTTAAGGAGGTAATAATAATCGGCTTCATTCATCACGGAAGATCAATGACATCTTATTTGTATTTACATTAATTGAAGAAAACCATATGACCAAAGGGCGAAGTGCCAGCTAAAGCTATTTTGAACCCAACCCAATAGGGTAATTATTCACAAAAAAAATGTTAGGAGTCAATACAAATGAAAACTGATAGTAATCCTATTCAAATCTGAATTGTTTCCTACCAAAAGTTTTTTGCTGTTACAGCTTGATCAAAAACATTAAACACAGATAGCGAATAACTTTTGGCGGGAAAGATTGAATGTGAAATAGGATAAGTGGAAAGAAAAGCGCCTTTAGAATAGTTTTTACCTTGCTATCGTTTTGTTTTTAGGTTAACAATATCTTCAAATAACCATTTGCGGATCAGGTTAGGTGCAGCCAATACTTTACATCAGTTCAGGGAAATCACAACTGAAATCAAGGACATGTATGAGCATTTTCATGAAGGTTTGAAAACATGGGAACAAACTACTGAAAATGGTACTCAAAATCTAATTCTTCCTCCTTGGCTATGTCAGGCATATGTTAGAGACACCCCCGAAAATCACATTAAAAAAGTAGAAGAAAATAAGAAGAAACTGAATGAAGATAAATTGGTAAAAATAACATGACTATCAGTTTTTTTTAATAAACGGAGACCTAATTTTTATCTACAAAATAGGAAGAAGTGGAAAATGATATGTCAATATATTAATTCAACTGTTAAATATGTAATAGTTTGAAAATAGGATTCAAAGTTGTCGAAAGAAGACAAAGTGGTCATAAAGGCTTCAGTTCATATCTAGGACCAGATAAACATTTTTCAAAAGTTGAACAAAAATTTACTTCTTATTCTTGGCTGATTGGCTTCAAAAGTTGTTTTAAAATGATGATAACAATTAAGTTCTTCGAATGTTTCAAAAAGTAGACTCTTACTTGTTTGATTCTTTTTTAATAACAACTACCATTATTGAATTCTATTTTAGATACCGGAGAATAAAAGACATTTCGAAAATGCTGAGGGCAATATCATAAGTAGAAAAAAAATGAAAAAACTTCGAAGGATAAGCAGAAGACCTGAAAAACCACCAAATTTACCAGAGAGAAATTTGGAAAAGTGCACAAAATGTCTTAATCCATTGGTGAATTTATTATAATCAATAATAATTATTCGATATTGATTTTGGAATATTTCAGGGATCCAAATGCATATATAGATTATGCAAAAAATGTTGCAAGGACAAATGTTATTTAGGAAATCTAGATTGTGAAGGACATAGAATATTAGTGAAGACAAGAAGGGAAATAGCAAAGAAACATGCTAAACAAGATAAAATAATTGTCAAGGAATCTGGGGTGTCATAGTGGAAAAATTTTATTTTGATGAATTTCATAGATATATGAATGTTATGCGGATTTTATTATTTTGTATAAAATGATAACACATTAGTAGCTTTATAGTTTACCATCAAAAAAAGGAAGAGCGAAAAACATGAAAATATATATAATAAATTTGTACTATAATGAAAATATAATTTGAAAATAAATTCAGCATAGCATTCAAGAAGGACTGCATGGTTGAGCCACGAATAGAGTAGTGTACGCTTCAAGACTACTAGTATCTCCTAGACAATTTCAAAACTCAAATATATATGTTTGCGCCTATACTGGACGTGTACAATGATCATTCAAACATCAACTGAAACGGGCTAGGGTAATTTTCTAAGCCAACTTCAGAGGGGATGTGTTAGTAAACCCTACTGCAGAAAAAAAAATCTGTTTAAAATCTGTTTTTCCGTTAACCAGCTGTCGCACCCCTACGAACGACAACCCTCAGAAGTCGAAACTTGTTCGAGCTAAGGATTAACGAGGTCTTACCTTTTAACGTGTGATTCCTAACACGGGTTGGACGGTAGCAAGTGAAGATCGATTGTTGAGATTAGGGCTTGAACCATCGACCAACACGGCAGTCAATTCGAGTGAGTGAACAAAGCACCCACGACGAACCGCTTGGCTACCGACCGACCATTAAAATAATATATTACTATCACATTTTGAAATGTGATCCAAATCGATGGAGGGTTTTAGGAGCGAATAGTTTATAACTAATAACAATAATAATTGACATGTGATGATTGCTGAATATCGAAGCATCAACACAAAAGTTTCACATGGAAACATCAGACATTTGAAGGTAACTGTCCAGAAAGGCACAAAGTCATTAATAGCTAGAGCTCTGGACTGTGACTATAGAAATAACTCTTCACAGAGTATGATAAAGAATATGTTATATCCAAATCGAGATTCTGGAAGTGATTGTTTGAGAATGTATCTGAAATAGCCCCAGTAATTTTTCTGCAAAGAACCTTCTAATAGCATTTGTTAAGGTTAGGTTCATTTATTCGTTGAAAAATGCAAAATGTTTCGGTCACGTTCATCCTATATATTTTGTCTAGATATTGTTTACTTTGTTCAAAGCAGTTGTTATGAATATGTAGATGTCATTAAAAGGCTTAATAAAAACTCTGGCCTTCTCTAAAAAACCATTATTTTTCGTTCTTCAACCCTGGATAATTAACAATATTACAGATAATAATGACACTGGGTTGATAAACAGACCGAATAGGGAATGATGTAGCCAAAGTTGCTTGGTTAGCCTTCTTCCCCAAGGTTAAAATAGCCCACCAATTAAACTTCCGAGTGGTGACCCTGAATCAGCTAATCCAATGTAGGTTTCTAGAAAGCCAAAACAAGCGCTTTTCCCAAATCGCCAGAAATGCACTACTCTTCTCGACGCACTTTTAACCTACCAGGTTGACGTCTTCAGATAATTGAGAAAGGTGTTTGCTTTGGATTCATCAGACACCAGAGGTACCAAATAAGGCAAAGTATCTAAGGGTTATCAGTTTTACCCGTGAGAATACCCTGCCCTTCATTCAATTTAAAAGCTTGATCATCCATAATGAAATCAGAACGTATTATTACTTTACAGTTCATATAAAAAACATTTATTCGGAAAACCATTTTAGAAAAATTGTCACAACCTTACTTAGCCTTTCCAACAGTGTATGAAATACGTAAATTTGATGAACCGTTTTCAAGCCCATTTTTATTAGGCCCTTTTTACAAACTCAAACAATCATCAAAAAATTACATTCTTGAAAAATTTAATTGTGTTATCATCATGTTTACAATAAAAAAACTCAAATCTGCGTGTTTAAATCCAATGTTCAAATTGTCCTCCATTGACTTTCATATAATAATACTTTCTCTCAAAGTAATAAATAAAAAAACAGCAAAACATTTCCTTATCTTGCCTTAATTTTTTTTGTGCTTAGAAGGTGATTATCTGGTTGTAACGTTTCTTCAATCATTTCAGAATTGATATCAATCTGTTGAGTGACTACTTTGCTGATTTGTTTAAAATTTCACATTGCAAGAACGTGTTGAGCTGGTTAGCCGTTATTACCAAAAAGAGCGATGCAAGGATATTCAACCAAAACCATCCTGAACGTAGCGTTCGCCATAAGTACGTACTGGAATTGATTTCAAAATTTGTGGAGATGGGTTCAGTAATGGATAAAAAAAAGGCACCCATTGGAATTGTGAATGATGAAGGAGCAGCCATGGCGGTATTGGGACATGTCCAACTTATGCCAAATACGCAATCTGTACGACAACTTTCTGCAATTTCCGGTATTAGTCAATCTAAAGTTTTCAGAATTTTACATAGACACAAGTTCCATCCGTACAAAATTAAATTAATTCATGAATTAAATGATTATGATTGGGATAGAAGGCAAGAAGTTTGCGAAATTATGGCCGAACTTATCAACAATAACCCAAATTTCTTGTACGTTTGCTTTTCTGACGAATGCACTTTCTTACTTAATGGAGAGGTTAACCGGCATAACTGTAGAATTTGGAGCGATACAAATCCTCATGTATTTCGAGAAACTGATACTCAACGTCCAGAAAAGCTAAACGTTTGGGTAGAAATTTTGGGAGACCACTTAATTGGACCTCTGTTTATTTCTGGTAATTTAACTGCCGAACGATATCTGGAAATGCTGGAAAATGCGATTGATCCGTTAATAACTGAACAATTGGAAAACGATTCTTTACTACTTGAACAACAATTGCATTTCCAACAAGACAGAGCTGTCTGTTCTGTTTAAAATCTGTTTTTCCGTTAACCAGCTGTTGCACCCCTACGAACGACAACCCTCAGAAGTCGAAACTTGTGCGAGCTAAGGATTAACGAGGTCTTACCTTTTAACGTGTGATTCCTAACGCGGGTTGGACGGTAGCAAGTGAAGATCGATCGTTCAGACTAGGGCTTGAACCACCGACCAACACGGCAGTCAATTCGAGTGAGTGAACAAAGCACCCACGCCGAACCGCTTGGCTACCGACTGACCATTTCCCCCTTTGCACTACGCCGCACCAGTTAGTCAATACCTCTATTTGCAATACCCCGTTCGTTGGATTGGAAGAAGAGATCCTATGGAGTGGCCTGCCCGATCTCTTGACCTGAACCCTCTGGACATCTCAAGTCCAAGATTTTTGTGAGTCACCCTCACCCCTACCCCTTCTTCTTCATCTGAAGACGCCAAATTGGTTGGTGAAACGCGCGTCGAGAAGAGTATTGCATTTCTGGTGATTGGGAAAAGTGTCTGTTTCGATCAAAAATTAAATATTTTCGGAACAATTTCCTTGCAAGCACCTTTTATTTGATCTACAAATTTTGGAGTAGACTTATGCAACGTAAGTAGTTATGCAACGAACGAATCAGATTTCGCATGACCCCGCAAAAAATCTGAAGGCGACATATCAAGTGATCGAGCGTATCATTCTAAGGAACCACCTCCGTCTGTTTACCCGTTTAGATAATTGACATGCCCAATAGAGTTTTCAACTGTTCAAGTTTTCTTAATGTGAGAGGCTGGTTCGAAAGTGGTTAATGGCAATCATAGAAACCGATGAATGGCCCGCTAGATCACCAGCTTCTATGAAGCCTTTAGATTTTTGTGGAGATTCAAAAACTCTAAAGCTTACGTTACACAACCACAGACCACTGCAGTACTCACTGAAAAATAACTCTAAAAATATTCCATAATGTAAGAAATGAATTTGTTAACAGACTTCATTGTTGTCAGGAAGTAAATGGTGAACATTTATCGGGATAAACTGGAATGCGTTTAGAATGAATTTTTTATCGAGATTCGTTTATTGTTAGATTTTTGAAAAAATAAAACTGCAGGTTACTCAAAAACGGCCAATCTGATTTTCAAAAATGAATTGACATATCAATGGTGTTATCCCGAAATAACCCTTTTCACATGAAAATAGTGGGTAACACCCTCATGCCGACGAATGATGCCACACTATTGTTTTTATTGAAAGAAACTATCAATAATGCCGTAATGATACGTAAGTAAACTTTGTCCGACCTTGATATCATGTGTCGGTCAATTGTTAGGAGGGAACTTTTTACGTCCACACTGTATAAAGATTTGAACTCCCATATAATAATTCTTTAAATACTTTTTTTCAATAATTATCATTTATAAAAATGGAGTTGTACATGTGAAAATAACCAAATTATTCAAGGTGGCTCATTCGAGCTGCAAAATTGATTTTTGGCAAAAATGGTTCATCAAATTTACGTTTTTCATACACCGTTGTAAAGAGGCTTCCAAGACCTTTCAAATGAAGTATCACTCAACCCATCTTGCCTATTCAAGTTTGAGGGGTTGAAGAGTCCCCTATTAGAGGGTTGCTCGTTCAAGCGTAAAATATACTTCAAAAGATGTCTCCCAAACAAAATCATTCGACGTGTTTCGGGAAAATGTTCCCCTCACTATGGGATAAGAAATATACGGGGTGGCTCGTCTAAGATGGAACACCCTGTATATTTAAGAAATAGAATGTGAGCCGCGTGTTCTATGAGACATTTCAGTAGTTCATCTGGTTTGTCCACCATTATTTTTGCACAATCCTCATACACATTCTACACCATGCTCGATAGCTTATTTTCTAAATATCTTAGCTTCAAGCCAATTTTGAAGTAAATCTGTGCAAATTCTACTCTGCCTTCAACCAGTCCATTTTGATTTCCCAATAACTTGAGAAATCTATCTTCACTAGCTGATCTTGGTTGCTCCATCACTTGCATTATAGACATGAATTAATCCATGAAATATATTGAATTGTAGGTAGATTGGAAGAAAAGGACCAAAATGTCACCCGATTTAGTTACGTTATACCTATTTTTTGTGAAATCACATATAAAGACTTTCAATTTGTGAAAGTCGACATTTCTAGATGATTTACTAAAAACATTTTTGAAACATCACAACGGAAATGCTTCAGAACGTCCGAAATCATCGCTTTAAGCAGAACCCCTATAGTAAGTGAACTATTGAATGCCATTTTTTACGTTATCCCCTTTTATAAAGTCAAAACTTTTAACCTATATGCTTAGAAACGAAAACCCGTTTTACAAAAACTGGCAAGAGTTACTTTTTGAAGTTGAAAAAAGTAACTTTCATCAACTTATAGCACCATTACTTGACATCCGCTGCACCAAACTGAAAAGATTGTGGAGATAAGATAAAAAATAAATTGATGATCCTTCAAACGAGATATATCTTGACCTCTAATTATACTCAATGGTTCGATCGTACCCTGCTGAATAAGTAGAGGTGACATGGTTAAAAACTTTCTTAAAAAAACTCTGAGAAATCGTTTAGTTTTTATTTGCCCATTCTGCATAGTGTGTTATATTTTCTGAAATTGTAAGTTCCTGCCGGAAAACAATACCTATCTATAACATTTGAAAAAACACATTTAAATGACTACCTACTTTTATAGGTAAGTAAAGCAATTTTGAAGTACTTGAAACAATCAGAACAAGATATTTAAACAAAGTTTAGTACTTGATTAAAAAAAGCAATAGTGTGGCAATTACGATGTCTTGTTATATTTCGTTTAATATATCTTTCAATTCTCTATTAACACTAGTTTGTTGTTAGAAATTGAATAAGCCTTTCCTGAGTAATCAGCAGTATATATTCTTTTCGAGAATCTACAAACGCATGATAAATATCATAATTTCGAATAAAAGGTAAAACTGGAACCTCTGGCGTAGACTGAATCCAAATCAATCATATTTCCTAATAACCAGAAAAGCAATACAACTCGCCTTTCACCAACCAGCTTGGCGTCTTCAGGAGATGAAGAAGAGTTTTCTTCATCTGAAGACGCCAAATTGGTTGGTGAAACGCGCGTCGAGAAGAGCATTGCATTTCTGGTGATTGGGAAAAGTGTCTGTTTCGATCAAAAATTAAATATTTTCGGAACAATTTCCTTGCAAGCACCTTTTATTTGATCTACAAATTTTGGAGTAGACTTATGCAACGTAAGTAGTTATGCAACGAACGAATCAGATTTCGCATGACCCCGCAAAAAATCTGAAGGCGACATATCAAGTGATCGAGCGTATCATTCTAAGGAACCACCTCCGTCTGTTTACCCGTTTAGATAATTGACATGCCCAATAGAGTTTTCAACTGTTCAAGTTTTCTTAATGTGAGAGGCTGGTTCGAAAGTGGTTAATGGCAATCATAGAAACCGATGAATGGCCCGCTAGATCACCAGCTTCTATGAAGCCTTTAGATTTTTGTGGAGATTCAAAAACTCTAAAGCTTACGTTACACAACCACAGACCACTGCAGTACTCACTGAAAAATAACTCTAAAAATATTCCATAATGTAAGAAATGAATTTGTTAACAGACTTCATTGTTGTCAGGAAGTAAATGGTGAACATTTATCGGGATAAACTGGAATGCGTTTAGAATGAATTTTTTATCGAGATTCGTTTATTGTTAGATTTTTGAAAAAATAAAACTGCAGGTTACTCAAAAACGGCCAATCTGATTTTCAAAAATGAATTGACATATCAATGGTGTTATCCCGAAATAACCCTTTTCACATGAAAATAGTGGGTAACACCCTCATGCCGACGAATGATACCACACTATTGTTTTTATTGAAAGAAACTATCAATAATGCCGTAATGATACGTAAGTAAACTTTGTCCGACCTTGATATCATGTGTCGGTCAATTGTTAGGAGGGAACTTTTTACGTCCACACTGTATAAAGATTTGAACTCCCATATAATAATTCTTTAAATACTTTTTTTCAATAATTTACCTATAATTAGTTATACCCTCATTAGCATGGGTTTTTAATATATTTCTGAATAGTTTAATATAGCATGTACACAATAATAGGTGTATGAAGACGTATTTGTTCACTAGAATAATGTCTCTAATACAACAGAGTATTTTGAAAAGGAGTTTGCAGATCAGAAAAGTAACATTTTTTAAAATAAATGAATATTTAAATGCGAATGGAACCAAAAGGTATTTATGTTGGTTTTCTGCTTGGTCAAGTATTTTTTACATTAGCCAAAAGTAGGTATATTTCAAAATTTCATTGAAATCATATTTTTGCAGGAATCTTTTCTCAAGCTCGTTCAAACCGAACATTTCGCATGAGGAGACTCGATCATTTTTAAATACATTTCCTGTAATTATAAAAGACTTAACGGATCATGACCTTTTCAATATTTTTCCCGAGATGAAAAATCGATTGGATCGAATGATGGAATACTCCTCATTAGCTGGAAATAAAAGTGTACCTCTCACCATGCTCATGGCCTATAAATCGTTTGAAAAACCTGAAAAACTTACGGATGAAAATATGACTTTGGCATATATTCTAGGATGGTTAACGGAATTGGTGAGTCTCACTTAAGCAGTATAATATCACTGTTGTAATGGTATCTTCAAATTCAGTTTTGATTCATCTGTTATCGATATTTATTATTTAAAGAATCTATACTTGTTAAGAGTTTTTCCATATGAAGTGAGACACAATTTTCAGTTCATGGCAGTAAAAACATAAACAGTTATTAATTTTTGGATGCATTGAAATTATCAAAGGTGGGGGTTTGTTACAATTCTCAACTCTGGCTAGATACAGCTTGCTCAGAATAAATTAAAATTTCAGATTGTAAAGATCGAATCGTGTAGTTTATGAAAAAAATAAATAAAATTTGAAACTAAATAAGTGTTAAGAGCTGCAATCGCCTACATTGATATAACATGAACATGTCCAAAGCTGTCATATCTACAAATCCTATAAATGTAGTTCAAATATCTCAGAATTACGTACTTGAAGAATCGATTTGAATATTTATTAAAAAATAATAATCTTGACTGTTTTCAATGACTGTATGATTATTATTTAATATTGAACAATAATTTCTTGCATCTTTTCGAGAAATGTTGGTATAATAAGTCTGGAGTGTTTCAACAAATGATACGAAAGGCTGATGAATCAAACAAACAACCGGATAATATAATGGGTGTTACTAAGATTGTTTTCTATGTTATATATCTCCAATTATATATCAATTTAGTTTTTCAACAAATAAACCAATCTTCATAATTTTTTGAGTTGCCCCCTCCCCTATATAGGTAAAGCCAGATTCACTCGGTCGATCAAACAGTATACATATTAAAAGCGATATAAAAGAACAAAGGCTTTCACATTTGTAGTAGCGATTGAAAGGCTGTTAGGACGTGGTCGAATGGAACTTGAAGTACCAAACGTTTCGTCTGCTACTGCGGCAGACATCAGAGGTGTGTGCGTTGAGTGCGAGGACAAGTCTCAGCAACAACTGACTGTCGAGCTACGTTTTCAATTGCATTTATAATTTCAGATGGTGGTGGGGGTGGCGCGATGACAGGGTGTCCATGCAAATTCTCACTCCTGATTAGTCCGCACCTATGCCGGGTCGTTCTGATTGGTCCACACTGTTACTAGGGTATTCTGATTGGTCCACGTTACTGACAGGTATGATACCTAGTGAGATGTCGATCAGAATTGTATACCAGTTCATTTCTGGCTTTCTCAAGTACTGGATACCACCTTCTGTTGACTCGTATAACTTCTTCTCTTCTATTGAGATCATTGGAAAACTTATAGATCTCAATGGCCTACCTGTGAACTCGGATGTGTTAATGCGATGAATTAGGACAACAGTTTCTTCGTATTTCAGAATTCGTGGTCTGTTCCCTAATTGCAGATTCATCCGGATGTATAAGGGCGGCAGCTATACGTAATAGTATACAAGTTGTTTGGAAGCTTTCACACCAGTAACACTGTGAAGATTGTTAGAGTGAAATAGTTTTTAAGTAAGAGGCCCGGCACGAGCCGCTGACCAAGTTTTTCATTGCTATCAAGTGTATGATCCATACATGCTTTTTTTGAAATTTGTCTATTTTCCGCCCGGTCGAGGGGGCCGTGGCAAAATCAAAAAATTGGACAACGTAACGAACGAATACAACGATCCTGTTCAACCAAGTCAACGGGAAGTAGAACTGTCCCATCCACTACTTCATGCATTCATCAGGCTGGAGATGAGATACATAGCTTCGGTCGGTCGGTAGCCAAGCGGTTCGGCGTGGGTGCTTTGTTCACTCACTCGAATTGACTGCCGTGTTGGTCGGTGGTTCAAGACCTAGTCTGAACGATCGATCTTCACTCGCTATCGTCCAACCCGTGTTAGGAATCACACGTTAAAAGATAAGACCTTGTTAATCCTTAGCTCGCACAAGTTTTGACTTCTGAGGGTTGTCGTTCGTAGGGGTGCGTCAGCTGGTTAACGGCTTCGCCGATGAAGATGATATACATAATCCCTCATATTTTGGGCGGAGAAACCGGCATTTTCCACATACCTTTGCTGACCTTTGCTGAACGGGTTCCAACTCGGTGAAAAATTTACTTCAATTCTCGCTTTCACGGTGGCAGACTATGTAGAGAATGAAATCAATTCATGATACCTTTACATACTCCATACAATATTATTCTGTAATGTAGACACTACCAATTCAAAAATGGAAACCGATCGATATTAGTCATTTGGTTGGTATTTCAGTATATTACTTTTTTTATTTCTTAAAGTTATTTCTTAGGTTCTAGTGACACCTCCTTTCCTAAGGAGTCGCACGGTTATTCTCAAGAGGGAGTGTTCAAAAAGTGATTTTCATCTTTTCGAATGAACAACAAAAATAAATCAGTGGTTACATACATTTTTTTGAAAGTATATACTATTTACAAAGTTTCAACCCATATTATTATTTTCACCTGAACTGGTACATGTGGCTTTCTCGATAGCTCTTCAGCTCCACTCTCAACTCATTTCAATCTAACTCAGAATGTTGTGGTTGGAGGTGGTCTTGACCACCTCTCGCGCCCTTCTTTCGACCGGATTTTCTTGCTGGTAGTGCGATGGACTTCATTCTGTCTCACAAAACCGATCCCAGGTGGCCCACAGGAACATCATTGCCCCATCACTAACTCCTACCTGTAGAAATTTCTACCGATTGAAAACCTGCAATAAAAATGTATCCACTTCTGATTGTACTTTTTTGTATGTTTTAGCTCCGACCTAATACGAAGAAGCATGTGGTTACAATTAGGAATGTATTTCCATTATAACCTGCAGGATACGGCCCCAGCACGTCTTTGGACATTTGTCCTGAAGGCTTTTGAGGCTTGCCGGCCTTAGTATTGGCGCAGATGAGGCAAGTGGATACGTAAACCGTCACCTGTTTTTTCATGTTGGACTAATAAAAATGGCGGCTCACCTGAGTGATCTTTTTATCGACCCCAGGATGGTCGCCTTTGTCATGGCACTCCTTGATAATTGCACCCTAATATATTTTTGGGATTAATAACCTTGAAGGTTTCCTTCGGGGACTACATCAGATATTCTTTCATTTGATAATCATTGAAGATTTCTGTTCACACTTGTTAGTCTCCGGATTCTTTCTAGCGCTTTCTATGCGTTTATACTCAATCTCATTGATAAGGTAGCGTTCTATGTGTTGATCATGTAGGTACTTTCTATGTACGTTCATTAGATATCTTAACATATAATGCGTTTGCCTGAATGGCTTTTCCTCCTTCACTCCAATTTTGTCAAAGATAGCATTCATTTGGGCTTCTTGTATAATCTCATCAAAGACATCCTTGATGGACTCTGATACCGGTAATACAGAACACTTGAATAGTCTAATTCTAAGGGCACCGCCTCCTTCGGAGATGCCTGTCCGAAATAAATTGAGCTGCCACTCAAGTCTACGCTGGCTTCCGTATGTTCAAAAAATAGTACACCTGAGATAACCGGCTCATGTTGATATTTCAAAAGAGTAAATCCAATGGGGACCTCTCCTCAATGATAATGTCAATGGTTAGCTTGTCGAGGTTATAACTCGGTGGAATAATATATTATTATTAGCAACTAGCTCTCAATTTAAGCCGCGAGGATTCGACTGGCTACCACGATGGCACTTTAGCCGGACCAGAAGTTGCCTTACGATGCCTACTCTCTAGGACAAGCACACCTCGTAGTAATCCATCTAATTTCCTACCACCGCCTCAATCCCCAGGGTTCAAGTCCCTGACTCCCAGTGTAATGATACCCTTCTCGGAGAAGATGCCGTAGGTCACTGGGTCAAAATACCCCCAGATGTATTGGATACGCTGGTTAGATCAATACGTCCTGATAAGCACTTTTCCAATACTCCAAGTAGGAACTAAGAAGTTACGATTTGCGTTGACGATTTGTGAGAAATAAAAAGTTTTATTCCACATTTATCAAAGGTTGGAACTAATAAGTTCTTTGTTAGCGTTGAACTGAAAAGTTCTATTTTTGTAGGTTAGGCCTTTTGGGGCTCAGATCTGGATACGTTTACGTCGAGAAAGTTAATAAGCTCTGATTCATTTCGTTGGTTGCTTTGGCAAAAGCGAATAATTTTGTTGTCGCTTTAATAAAAGCGGATGTGGATGTCTATTGTAAGACCGAGGTACTTCACCAGCGGTTCTAGTCGATCTTCCTTCCAGAGGTCCTCACTTTCGTGGCCGGAGAAGATATCGTTCTTCCTATGGTTATTGCTCGAGTCTTGTTTGAGTTCACTCGGATCTTCCAATCGAGGTACCAGCGATCAAGGTCGTCCAATGCGCATTGCATATAGACGAATCCGAGCTCACCAATGGAAAGGTCAAGGAGAGCCGTGTCATCGGCGTACAGGAAGATCCCCACACGCTCGAAAGGTCGCGCTGGTATATAAGGAGTACAGCGTAGGAAAAAGCACAGCTTCCTGAGGCACTCCAGCAGGTATTTCCCTGCTGAAAAGTTCTGCCCTTCAGAAAGGAACCTATTCGTCAGAACCAGACCCCGGGGCAGGTCGACCTCGAGTAGTTTGTGAAGAAGGCATTCGTGCCAGACACGATCGAAGGCCTACGAAATGTTCCAGAGGACAAGATGGACAATCTTGCTGTTATTTAGCTCCTTGATGGTGTTTTCAACCAGCCTCAGAACCTGTAATTCAGTGAAGTGGCCCCTTCAATAATCGAATTGTTCGCCAGGCAGAACTGATCAGGCGGTGATTCTGTGGGAACAATGGGTCCTGGTCCTGTTTTGGGATTATCATGACGATTGCATGATCCGACCTTCTGGGGAAGTACCTAAGGGCTAGTGAGCTATTTATAATGCTTAGAAGCTCTCTGACGCGGATTTTCGAGTGCCTCTTCAGCAACCTGTTGGTTATTGAGTCAACTCTTGAAGTCTTCTTGGAGTCGACGAATGTTATTGACAATTTACCTAATCCGGGTACAGGTATTAGCACACTAAGCTACCTCACGCAACCGTAATATTCAGTAATCGGAAATTACTCAGGATGTATAAACCTTTGAAGAAGCTAGCCACTCGCACCACTCAACAATTGGTGATACTCAACTATTTTGTCAGTTTATTGATACTTTATTTGTTATTTTTCATATTGTATAAGGGTAATAATAAATTATATGTTCATTTCAAATGTTATCAGAAATATACAAAAACTATGGAACTTCACAACAGTGAAACAGTTATGAATTATATTTCATAATATAAAAGTTATCAGAATAATAATTACGAGTGATATTAAGCGCCTTCACACTATCCAGGAGATACAAAAATATTATTAGTTAATGCAAACATTATTTTTAAATTATTGTTTGGTAAAAAAACAACATGACTTGAATAAATTGAAGACTCATTCACTCCATTAATTGTTTTAGGTTCAAATTGTTTTTTTCATGACTACGGATGTAGCTGAAGAAATAAATACCCGTAAAAACATACCGACTTGGCATACCTATGCTGATGTGCAACTCAAAGCAGCCAATGACTCGACGATTTTGGAAAATTATGTCTTCTTATTTTTAAAAAAGTATTTTTCATCTCATTCCCATTATGAACAGTTGATGGATTTATTCAACAACACTATTTACAAGACTTTTCAAGGAATTGGATTTGAATCATGTAATGTCAATATCGAAGATTTTTCTATGGACAGACTCGAAAAAATTGCAAAATATAGGTTTTTCTATAGCTGTTATCTTTTACCTATTTATTCGGCTATGTACCTGGCAGATATGACGGAACTGAGAGGATTTGAAAGCACTGAAAATGTTTTATTTGAGATGGCGAAATATACTAAAGTTGAGGTGGGTTCTTTAGAAAAAAAAAAAGTGTAATTTTTGAATTTTGATTAAAATAAAAAAGTTGTAATAAAATTAATTCAATTTTTACTATAAAAGGTGACATTCTTGATCATCAAATGATGCTTACTTGTTTTCAATAGACTATGAAAGATTTATAAAACCGCGACACGTGTTTCGTGCTTCTTCAAGCAAATTCAGCTTAAGGAAGCTATCTTGAATAGCGAAACACGTGTAGCGGTTTTGTAAACCTTCCACAGTGATAATCAAAATTAATTTTATTAGTAACTTTTGACATCGATTTTCATCAAATATCGGTCAGTCAGTTCCATTCAATTTTGGTAAAGTTCTAGTCATAAACACTTTTTAATTTCCAGAATGATTATTTGGATTCGTTCAACTGTCCCAGCTTCAACACAAATATAAGATTTGGACGGTGTTCTTGGCTGGCTTTGAAAGCATACGAAAAGGCGAGTTTGTCTCAAAAGGATCTTCTGAAAAAATTCTATGGTTGTTTGAACAACGAATCTACACACAAAATTCGATGTCTATATGAGGAACTAGATATACCACGTGATTTTCAGAATCACAGAAATGAAAGTTTTCGTACTATTCGGAAGAAAATTGATGATTTATCTATGTATAATGAAATGACTCTCCTTCGGCAGGTTCTCAATAATTTTGTTATTGCCAAGGCAGTGAGAGCACAGTAAAATAGTATTACTTATGAACTCTTTGTGAACATCGGATAAAGTAAAACGTGTTTTGAATTAAACTTTAGGTGAAGACATTCTTTAATCAGCACTGAAATGCTGAGCAGTATTCTGAACTGTTTCAATTCCACAAAATATTCTAGAATTCCGCGAATATTTCAGAAATTTCTTGTGATTTACAGCACATAATACGTAGATATATTCCGTTCGCCTATTTGACACTGGTTATTAACCTGAGTATTGTAGAATGTTTGTAACGTTTTAAAACTTTGTAGTGATTTTCTGCACGAATGCAACGTCAGCCCTTTCTTGAAACACGGACTCATAGGTAGACAAATAGGTTTTAGCCAGAGTTTACTAGAATTTTGAACAGGTTGGTCGGAGGTAAGTTTTTAGGAATATTGCTATATTCGTGCATAACCTGACATCAACAGGATCTTCAATATATTTGATTTCAATTTTCGTAAAACAAAATTCCGAAAGTTCAATATTGTCATTACTTCATCAAAATCACGGAGGTTGAAGTGAATGTAATGGGAATAATTCATGAATGTTATTTCATGAATATGCGTCTATTCAAAACTCAGATATTTTTAGTATGGAATATATAAGGAAGTCAAGACAGGAAATGATTACCAGAGACAAAGTTTATGATAAAGAGTTACTTCACAAGAAGCAAATATTGTTGCGAGTTTCTCCTTTCCTCTTCATCCTCGGATGAACCACCTCTGAAAGTTGCCATCACTTCATTTTCCAACGAGCCTGTGATATATACACGAGGACTTTGAGTTGCGCATGTTCGTGTTGTATAACAAACACAACTCGTGGTTCGAAAGTTTTGAATATAATCTTATGGAAAACAAACACAAATCAAGTCGCCGCGGGGAACCTTTTCATATGTAGGTACTTTATTCTGCATACAACGACGTGATGTGCACTGAGCACGTGATCTCGGCAATAAAAAACGATTCCAACAGACGATATCCAGTTTAATTTGAACAGTAGTTATGTCAGTGGGTATGATAAAATGTCTGATTTTGCTAGTAGTTATTACGAGTTAACTCTCAATCGAGCATTAGTCAAATCGAATATTGAGAAGTTGGGGACCTCAGTCGATTCAACAAATATTCAATTACGATTTTTGCCAAGTGCTCTCAGACCCAACGTTCATTACAGATCGGATCGTTTGTACAAGTACGGACGATTCACGTCGACATCAACATCACTTTGGGAGCCTTCTACAGCGATACTCCATCCCATACGGTATAGGAATTATTTATTGACGCCGATTCTGGCTACGCATTCGACGAGACGCCTCATCATCTCATCTATTATCCTATCGCTCACATAAACGAAATAACTAACATAACGTAGAGAGTGCTCGATCAAAACGTCAATTTTCGAGGGAAAGAGATAATAACACTCTACGAAAACAACGTTTCAACACTTGCTCCTTCACTTACCAACAATCAGCTAAAAGTGTAAGGCAGCTGGACTCCAATTCCGAATGAATCGAAGAGGACCTTCCGCCTGCTCCTTCACTTCGTATCAAGAACCTTCACCGTTCGTCATCAACTGACTGCTGAAAATATAGCTTTACTCCAGTCTCTCAGCGCCATGTTAACGTCTCAAGTATTTGACATTTTTCGAAATCCCAAAGTGAACGAATCCATACAAAAGGTGGAATAGAGAATTTACTATCCGTACAATTGTTTTAGAAATAATGACGTCATCGAAGATCATATCAATCAGTCTGATGCATATGATGTCTTGAATGATAGTCGTTTGTACGTCAACGGAAAAGTTATCAGCCAGCTATGAACACAGTGGTGAAGAATCAAAGACGGTACGTGATGTGGGTATCGTAAATTAAAGAAGGAACCAAAAGTTTTCATCAGAAATCATTATGATCAATTGCAGGATATCTTTGAAAATGTTTGAGCTGAATTACCTGCTCTTGCTCTCTCTCTTCTTATTACCTCCCTCTAGCCATCATTATCCAACTGCGCTTTTAAACCTAGTAAGGTAGACAGTAATATATAACCAAACGACCTATTTTGGCTTCTATGTATTTATTTTATTATATATTATATAACACAACCGATTCCAGTCTGTAACAGCCACGACACAAGCCTAGCTTAGGTGGCTACAGATTGGGTAATGCATGGATCTATAATAGCATTATTCATGATAATTTTAATTGTAAATGGCAGGAAAATCAAATCAAGTTACTGAATGAGATGAAATGAATAAATTACTTACCTACTTACTACTTCCACATGTCCAATGACTGGCAAACCAATTTGATCATGGATTATATGTATACCGTTGCAGTTAAAATTTATCGCTATTTTCCTCGAATGACATCACAAACGTGGCGGCCAAAATCATCGACATTTCGTAACCCCCCTTATGTGATAACCCTTAGGGATTTGACCACAGACGACTTGACAATTTTGACATTAATGTGTTGACCTGACCTTGGCAGTGTTTCATATATCATTTGAAAAAAACTAATTTTTTTTTTGGTTTTGCTATTATGTGATGTGGTCCGAAGTCCAAAACTCTTTATGTGATGTGTAATATTGTATTCAGAATTTTTGTCATCTTGTTATTTGCTTCATTAGGTCATTAAAAATAATGTTACAAAAAAGTTGAAATGTGCAACTGTGAATCTAACAAAAGTATGGATATGAAAACTCCCAGGAATGTTTACCTATCGGCTTTTTATAAAAGGTATTTCTCACGATATATTGAAAAATATTTCATATGAAATTTTTAGGAGTTTTGCATTTTATACCGTTAAAAATCGAATGCCAGTTATTTTAACAAATCTTGTGGATGATCTAGTAAGAAATAAACACAATATTATAGGAGAATATGGAGAGGTATTGAGATTATTTTAATTTTCGCATGTCACTTCCTGTTGTCATAACCCAAGAGGTTTAAATTTCATTCATTACATTTAAAAGTTGTTTGCTAGTTTGAAATAGGTAGTGACTTGCGAAAAAAAATATTTTTAATTATTTCAACAACTAATATATTGTTTGGGTATAAGCAAGCAAAAGAAGAATTGAAAACAGTCATAGGAAAGTTATCTGAACTTAAATATGAGATTCAAACCAATAAACCTTTACAATTATTAACCAGTCAACTACCAGATGCTAAAATTTATAATGACCATATTACAAAGCAAACAAATGAAGAAGGTCAGCCAACACACTTTCATACCATCTGGTTACTAACAGAATGTTATATGTATCGCAGAATCAATCAGATATTTGAAAACACGTAAGTAGCTTTCTGTTCAAACACTCCTTTCATAAGTAACTGAAATAATGGCTTTTAGAAATACCTTAAAACATTATGACTATTTTCGAAATAAAAAAGAGGAATCCTTCATATCTGCTCTACCTTTGATATGTCAAATGGGAAAACATTTAATAGAAGTGTTGAATAAATCGGGAGATGCTACTAGGGAAGAGTTTATCCAACTTTTGAAAGTATGTATGTACCACTGAACTTCAAACAGACAAAATCATATTACTAGCCAATGAATTTTTATATTTTCAGCTGAATCTATGGGGCAATAAATGTGATTTATCATTGTCACTAGGAAAAGTATCTGAACATTCAACTTTATTTGATACTCACGTTTTAGATTCTAAAATATTATGTGACCAATCGGAACACATATGGAATGCCGTTTCAAATACACAATCTTCTTCAGATATAATAGGTGAGGTTTATTTTGAAAGTGTTACTTTCATGTCCGTAAATTTTGAGGTGGCCTGTCATATTAGATTTAGTGTAATGCCATGTTTTTTTTTCCTACTTTTCACAGTAAATCTTTTCATTTGATACTTGTATCCTGAGGGTGCTTAAAAACTAATACGCATATATTGGACGGTCCGTCATATTGAATTTAGAGTGACATTTATAGAGTAAGATCTAAGAGCCGTCAGATTTATGTCATTAAGTATGTTCATTCAGCGATGTATAATGTGCATTTATAGTTACCAGTGGTAATCAAATCTGTTTCAGACGGACCAATGAGTGACACCACTGTTTGCCTATTAGGCATTGCTGAATAAACTCAACGTATTCTGACACTAAATAGTTTAATATTTAGTTAGAATGTATGCATATTTGCTAACCTGAAAGCGGGGTAATATTTCAAATATAGGATCTGCTTTAAACATCTTAACATCAGATCACTTGTAGTTATGAATCACTTTGTTTTTAGAATGGACAATGCCAAATATTTTTGATGTGAAAAGTTCAAGAATAAATACCTAGGAATAGTAATATTGTTGACCCATGCATAGTAACTATTTATTTCTCTCTATTTGAACTACAATTATTTTAGTCAAAATAACTTCATATTTTTTCACTTTCAGATATCGTTTTGGATAATGCTGGCTACGAAGTGTTCACTGACTTATGTCTAGCTGACTACCTCATATCGAAAAATTTGTCAAAATCTGTTAGAATCTATGTCAAAACTATACCTTGGTTCATATCTGATGTTATGCAACATGATTTGAATTGGTTGATACTCATTTTGAAACAAAATAGTAATGAAATTCTTGTACAACTTGGTGAAAAGTGGGGAAATTACATTGAAAAGGGTGTTTGGACAATAGTTGAATCTGACTTTTGGACTTTACCACTTGAATTTGCACATATGCCTAAAGTAAATCCAGAATTGTATAGGCAACTAGCGGAAGCTAAGATAATATTATTCAAAGGAGATTTAAATTATAGAAAATTATTTGGTGAGAAGAACTGGGACCCTGCTACGTCAGTTGATGACGCATTAAACAGTTTCAATCCATCAAAGCTGGGAATTTTAAGAACTGTGAAAGCAGATATCATTTGTGGACTTTCAGAAGGTCTAGCCGAAAAAATTGAAGCTTCAATTCCAAACTGGATGGAAACTGGTGAATATGGTCTTATACAATTTTCAGATAAAATTGTGATTTTATAAGAATGAAATTTGAACTTGAAGTAAATTTCTTTTGTGGCAAAAATTGTTTTTTTCCCACCATCTATGAAAACAATTCTTTGTTTATTGTTCCGTACTAGGATTTGCATGTCATAAGGTAAAACTTCGTAAATTTTTAGCTTGGACAACTCTTTACTTTTGAGAGATGTCCTTCGTAGGGGGGACGATAGCTGGGTGATGGAAAAACAGATTTTTAACATATTTTTCTACCATGTAAAACAGAAACGTTCAAGAAAAAGACAAGGTAAAGCAGAGTGGTAATATAAGTAATTAAGTTTTTGGTGCTTATCAAAAGTAAAGTAAAAAGAATTATCATATGTAACATTAAAGTTTTTGGGGTTGATGGAGCCGCATTGACAAATATTGCCATTTTTTATTTGAATAATTTTGTAGTAGGCAAGTTACGGCGTTGCCAACATGTGCACTATTTCGAACATTCAAATTTGTTAGTACTGTGATTTGTTTTATTGCTATTATTCTTACTTACTATTAACTTGCTCAGTTGAAATACAGATTTGTTGAGACTGTTTCGACAATGCTTTAGGCATATTATATATACGCAGGTGTTATCAAAAGAAATGATTTGTTCCTAAAAGAAAAACTAACATTTTTCGAATTTTTTTCGATTCGGCACCGTTTGAAATTTTACTATCAGTTGAGCAACTTGCAATAGAAAAATAAAAGATAATTTTGACTGTCATAAAAACAGATGAATATCTATCCCTTTAAAAAAGCAAAAGTTTTTTTACACCAGAAATAAGGTAGATGAAAAATTTGAAAGAACAACCCGACTATAGATTTTTGACAGAATGGTCTTAGGCTGCAGTGACAATAATTTACAGCAAAAACCATAAAATTATACCGGGTCAATGAATTATCTCAAAAACAAAAAGAAATTCAAGAAGGGCATAGAAGAAAGGATGGAACATTTCAAGAAAGAAAACATTCAAATAAAGACCTGTGACATAACTAAAAAAAATTCTGAGGTGACAATATAAGGTTTGTTTTGGTTCACAATTCTGTACAGTTCGATCATGCGCAGTTATTAAAATGTGTTTTGGTTCAGTTAGAATCGTTCTAGTATCGTTCACAAAGTGTTTTGGTTTTCTCCGAACCGATTCAGAACTATTCCAGAACGGTAATTATTAGTTCGTACATTTGAGTAGGAACCGTTTAGAACTTGAATTTGCTTTTGCGCACCAATAAAATTTTTCATTTGGGTTGTGGATTTTGGTAGTAACGTTTTCTTAATCCCATTTTTATCCGTATTTTAGTTGGTGTTTCATTTGGTATTTTATCTACAATACTGTCTCCGGTAAAACAAAGAAACTCGGTGAGTTCATTGCGACCTGTAAATAAGACAAAATTATATATCAACATTATTCTCATACCATAACAGGTAGACGTGTAATGTATATAGCAATAATAATAATCATTATTTTTATCACATCTTTTACAATTCCAAAAATTTATTTTTGGCATGTTTCTGTCAAACTCATTAGTATAAGATTACAAAGAGAGGACAATATATTTTCAATTTAATTTTGAATAACCGGGGATAACGTCTTAGTTAATTCCTGTTACTCTCATTTTTTCAAAAACATCATTACACTTCAATTATATATTTGCTTAACTGTTTCACTCTTGTCTTTAAACTTAACTCAAAAGTCCAATGATCGTTATAACAGAGTAGAGGTACCTAACCTCCAATCTTTGTTTATACACTAGTCAGAATAATTTTTTTATATGTTTTGGTTTTTTACTTGTTGCGGCCGTTCCAGAACTGTTCTGTGACTGTAATGTTCTGCGCATTGATTCGGTGTCGATACGGGACCAAAACAAACCTAATGTAGCAGTTTTGTTATATGGGATTAGCAATCTAGATTAGGGTTATGTCGATGTTCGAGCCATTTATATACGTTTTTAAAATCGCTTCATACTATTGCTGGCTTGCTGAGCGTATCTGTGATGTCATCTATGAAACATACTCCTATATAGTAACCACACTCTCTTTACAAAATTTGTTCGATGATACCATTACAATTCGCTTTTGGATATACTGCGACTTGGACGTCGGATGACTGAGCTGTGGGAATCGAGCCTAACACTAATATGGTGCAAGATAGCAAGATGCGAGTATTCGCCTAGTAGAAGCAATGCCCGTTGGCTTAAGCCGCCGCGGATTTTAACCGCCTCATTTTGTGAGTGAAGGAAACTAATGGAAGCGGCCGCACTGACGGTTTTTTCCTCGACTGATTTCAAAACCGCGACTTGTTACAGAATGGCTAGCGGGAAAAAACCGCGCAAAATGTGTAGTTCATAGAACTTATATGCGTACACATTTGACGCGGCAACTGCGGGCGGTTCTGTCATTATTTGGCATACAGTCATGAAGAGTCGTTGTGTTGTCGTCGACTGAATCTGAGTCTGTTTCGAATGAACTAGATTGAATCTTTTTTGTCGAACTCTTTTTATTATAAAGACAATTTAAATTTTGTATTAATTTTTCTCCTGTTCGGGGGACCTTTTGTTTTTTTCACATATCTTTCATATAAATGATGTGATCCTATTCCCACGTGTACATCCGGTTCCGGCCTCTAACCGGCGTGACTGGGGATAGGTGTTATGTAAATCCACTTTAGCACTCCCACGTGGACATCCGGTCTACCCCGGTCTCCAACCGGCATGAATGAGAGTACTATTACTCTTTAAACGCTTAGAAGACTTTTCACAAAATATTTACTTTAATAGTGGTACATTCTATAACGGCCGACAGTCATAACACAAACTGAGTTCCATCTCCAACAATGGCTTCCGCGTACCTTCTTTGTGGACTGTCGTTATGCGCACGTCCGTCCACCACCATAACGAAACTTATGACTAAAGTCAGAGAAGAATAAGAAAAAAATATATTCGTGAACACACAACACACAACACACAACACACTGCCTTGCTCTTTGACATTTTCCATTTTGTTTGTTCCGCCTATGACTCCTCGTTCCGCCAAATGCTAAATCTGAAATCAGGGAAGAATAAGAAAATGGTGAAAATTGAAATATGACAATTGTTCGTTTCTGAAATATATCAGAAACAAGTATTATACATTTCTCTTGATATTAAATCATTGAAGGTTTACAATCATTAAACGATATCTATCCATGAGGACGATATGTAAGTGATGATATCAAACAACTCGTCTTATAAGCTTCGAGCCTCTAGAAGCTCCAGAGAGGTTCAAGATTATGAATATGGCAATTCAGATGATAACTATGATAATATAGTTGAAGAGTCAAATGATACTAACAAGAGAAATACTAACTTCTTAAGAGATACTCGTAGCAATAAAGGAATTGGAAGAACCAGATCCACTGAATTTAGGTCCAAAGCCAGTGACCGAAGAGGATATAGAAGTAAAGGATTAGGTCCACCTAGTCGGAAGAGTGATAGAGATTATTCAGACACTTTCTACAACATAAGGAAGTATGATGCTAAAAATTCAGAATCAGTGGGTGAGTATGTACTCTCAAAATGAAACTGTATTTGAGTTGACGATGATAATAGGCAATAATAGATTCTATCACTTTTTTATTATAGGGACAAATGAATTCAGGTTTTATTAGTTGCCTGGTTTTAGGGTGGGTTTCCAAATTTCTCAAGAGATAATTGTTCCTGTTTCAAAATAAAATTTTTTCAGAGTCATAAAAAATGTTCCAAAAATGAGTATTGAAAGTGACATCCTAGATGTAGGTTTCAGATCACACTAGTTTAAAATCACATGTCATGTTCTTCATACTTTCAAATGATATAAAACTGACAGAAAATTGCGCTATGTATTTTACGAATCAATGAAGTGGTTTTCAGACCACAAATTGAAAACAGAAAGCATAATTTATAAGAAGTTAAGAAGAAGGTAGATAAATATGTTAACTATAGGAGAGATACTGTTTTGGAAAAGATAGATTATCAGCCAATAGTTAATTTCTTAGATCAAAATAGTTATTAGTGGTGTTCAATTATGGTTTCAGAACAGGTGCAATACTCTCATTTCATTTTTTTTTTCAACTCAATAGAAAGGAAATTAAAATTCCTTTGCGAACATTTCTTCACCATATGTAATGTAGTAGTCTAGATTCAAATTATCAATATTCCTTATAAAAGACTGGTAATGTCATGGACCTATTCCCGCTTCTTGTTTAATTGCCTATTAGGAAGACTGCAAATTTCAATATTGCCAAATCGTACATAATTCATATTGGAAAAATAACCACTAGGAAAACCAAGAACGTGAATAACAGGTAGTGTTTATATTCCCAGTAACGTGTGTTCATTTGCAAAAGTTAGACAAAATATTCTGACACATAAAGATAGGCCTGACTTTATTGCACAAACTATTTTCATGTGGAACAAACTGAAAAGATAGAGATTATCTCATTTAATTTTTTTTTTAAATTCGTTCATGTCGTACGAAGGTTCATTAGTCATATTGCCAAAGTCATCTAATTTCAACAGAGAGGAACAAGCTCATTGCGAAGAAGTGATACAGTGTGTACTTGATGATTTAAAAAACAATTCAGAAAATAATTTGGTAACTGGTGCAGGATTTCTGAATTTACAAAGGGTATTCAGAACCACTGAATGATAAGAAAGCTAGAAAGATTTGGTTTTGTATGACAGTCCATGGCATTGCTGGTTGAAAACCACAGGCAGAAAGATATTGAAAGAAGTACTATCGAAAAAAAATTATAGATCAAAGTATACTCTAAGAAAGTACTCGGAATTTTTTCAGCCTAATGTAAAACTAATAAAGACATAATTGAGATGGTAGATACATTTAAATATCTATGCACTGGTATTGGTGTAACTCACGTTACATACTTTCTTAGAGAAAGTTACATATAAAATCCATAGTCAGATGTCAAACTGAGAAATAAAATCCTCGAATGCATTAGCATAAAATATGACAAGCTATCTCTGTCTGTTTGTTCAATTACCTACAGCTAAGGTCAATGTTGTACACAACCATTTTGTTCAGGAGTCCTCTCATTGGACAGTGTGAAGCCCTGTTAGTGTTCTGGGCCAATCCCTACTTTGTTGAAGCAATTCTTCAGTTCTCTTCTCGGACAGTCCTTTTATAAAGGTTTTTCTGTGTGTGTTTCCTGGTATGTTTTCCCTATACTCTCAATACTTCTCATAGACCCACTTTCCAATTTAGTTTGTTACTAAAGATGTTGGAATCCCCATAGCGGGTTCAAGGCCTATGTATGGAGTTTATGATCAATGTCATTAGCTTTTTTGTTGCTTGCGATACCTGAGTGCCCTGGCACGAAGTACATAGGCAATCTATTTCTGCTCGCCGGCTTCTTTAGTTCTTCAGATCAGTCTCGATATCACTTTTGGGTTCGTGCCAATGTTCAAGCTGTCTGTGAAAATACTGATTTATTCCTTTTCTTGAGACCTTAGATTGGTAGATTGCATATATTTCAGCCTGGAAGATTAATATGTACTGACGGAGTGGGTAACTGAAATGAAGATTTCTCCTCACACAGTAAATTCCAGCTCCTGTACCATGTTCGGTGTTGAACCCTTCTGTATAATATATGTTTTTTCCAAATGTATTCTCTTGTTGACTATTTATTCTCCACTCTTTTTGCGGTTTAAGACTTTGACTGCAAAATTTGTGTTGATCAAGTATTTCAGTGTCCGTGAACATGTTTGATGTTCGTTCCTCCACATATTCCGAAATATCTTTTTTGCCCAATCTCATGTAACTCGGTGAGCTGCATTGGCCCACCCTTACTTTTCCCTCCTTACAAGATTCAAGTGTGGCTCCAATGCACTTGTTGGAGCGGTGTTCATTGCTCCTGTTGTTCTCAAACATGCAAGTTTTTGCACTCTGTTCAGCTTCTTAATAGCTGTCAGTTGTTTCATCTCTGACCACCAAACCAAAGACGCATACGAGTTAAACCAAAACAAATTGATATCGACTATTATAATTTGTCTGATATGAATCTTCGAGGTTGATTACGGGCCACCGTTTTGAATTGATTTTTTTTAATCTATATCACATTTATTATCACTGAGAATACTTTAGCCTCAGTCAATACTACTTACCTTTTATCACTAGATTTAAACCTGTCAATATCAAGATACAATGTTTTTAAATGTTGATATTCTGAAATGTTGATGTATCATATTTTTCAACTGGGGGTTTCCCATAAATAAACAAATTTAGAGTTATCAATTAGCAGTGATTCCTTTATGAATAATTTTGCTAATACTATGATGGCTGACATGCACTATATTTAAGGATTAGCAAATGAAAATGCGGAAGAAGCACGCAAAATTTACCATGACAGATATCTTAACAGATTTATTCCATACGCTAAAACATTCAGAGCGCTACATGCAAGATTTTCTGAAACTGGGAGTTGGAATGAAATTGTAGGTGTCGGAAGACCAGAAACTATAACGATGACTGAACTGAAGAAGTTATTCCTAATGGGATGTAATATTTTTCAAAAGTATCCTGAAGATTGCATTGTAGCTTTGATTCAATCCAAAAACCATCTGGAAAGGTCTTGAAAGAAACCCCCTATACTGCTTGGAAACTTTCACCCAAGATTAATGGTTTGTAGGTGGTTGATTCATACAATGGCACACAATAATAATTTTCAACCAAATATTTCATTCACGAACTAGGCAAATTTTTAACGAGATTCTATTTGAACTTCTTCAGTGACGTAATAGTATTACGCGACTTTAAGTCTAATATGGCGTCTAGGTTTTTTATGCACCTCCATAATATGGATATCAAATGAAAGGGTTTGCTGAACAAATACGAAAAATAATATGCGTCAATTTTAAAATTAGCCTCATACAGAAATAATTTGTTCAACGGAGGATATAAATATTGAACAGAGAAAAACGATTTCTGTTAATTTCACACAAAGTGAAAATTTTTCCAGAAGAGAGAAAGATTTGGTTCGGATAAGAAATCGATTGGAAGTCTTCATTTGATGATACATAAAAATATTATTCGTGTCAAGTACATTGTTGTTTTACCATATAAACATGATATTGTTAGGAAATTGATCGAAAAGTAACATAAAATACATCTTCACGCAGGAGTTCAAACACTTCTCGGAATACTTTGTTAAAGATTTTGGATACTGAATTGAAGAAAGTTTGTTGAAGAAGTGATAGAGAAATGTGTCCAGTGCAAACAATTCAAAAGTAAATGCATAAACATACCTTTTGCGCCGCTACTGAATAATAGGATTAACAATGTGTCAGCTTTTGAGATAACGGGGGTACCTGAAATGGGGAGAGAAGTTCTGGATCGTACTGTTTACCTATGCAGTATATTGAGCAGTGCATCTGGAACGGATGAAATCAACAAACGCATTTTTATCATCACTGAGGCGATTTATAGCAAGAAGAGGAAGAGTTTCAGTTATATATTCACAACAGGACAAATTTTATTGGAGCAAACAAATTATTTGAAGAAGGTAGACTGGAATGAAGTTATGGAGTACTCTACAGTTCCTACAGAATCCTCTAACAACCGCTTGGTGGGGCGGTTGGTGGGAACGCATGGTCAGAGTCATTAAGGAATTACTTTGTAGAAACTTCAAAATATGAAGAATTGATGACGACTTTATGCGATTGTGAAGTCATAAATGATGCAAGGCCTTTAACTTGTATTTTGGATGAAGTTAATTCAAAACCTCTCAGGCCTTCTATGTTTATTTCATATATATCTACTAGTGAAACTACAGATTTCGATATTATAGACAGACATCGTTTAGCGAAATGACATACATACCTGCAAAAGATAAAGAGATGGTCTCGGAAGCTGATTCAGAAAGGAGTATCTAGCGGAACTCGTACATACTGGTCAAAGGAAAATAGGTAGTTTAAAAATTGGGATGTTGTTTTTGTCAGCAGCGACAATGTGAAGCAAATGAAAAAGCCTATAGAAAAAATATTCGAAATTTTTCCTGGAAAAGATTATGTACCCAGAGTAGCGAAAATAAAAGTTAACAATGGAGAACTTATTCGACCGTTTCAGCATTTACATCCTTCAGAAGTTACGACAGAAGAGTACAGTAAGAACTTTCATCAAATTGAAAAGAAAATGAATGAAGTCAAAAATAAAACAGATGAAAACCAAATAACAGAAGAGCAGGACAACAAAGAGAAAACAGAAGAGATAGTTACAAGAAGGTGGTGAAAAGTCAGAGCTCCGCATCGTTATGGTTTCGAGTGGAATTAATAATGTTATTTTGAAATTTCTCTTTTGTTTTTTTTCTTTCAATTTCAAAATGAGGGAGAATATTAGGTTTAGAATGTATGTTTTTATCATTCCCTCTATATATATAGTTTTTCTTTAAAGTTTATGTGATGTTTGACAATATTTTTAGTTGAATCAAGTTTGTTAGTGAGAAGATTTCGATTAGAGTTGTCAAGTAAAAAGGATATAAAAACGTCAGTAGACTTCATTTTTGTATATTAGGATGCCTATTTGAATAAAGGTTCATTATTATTTATCATAAAGAAGTTGTCTGTACAGTTAATCACTTATTTTTCAATTTATAAATAACCCAAACTTTATTCTGGCTCATTCCTGACAGAATAAATTTTCACATTCTATTCCAAAAATTCTTTTTGTAAAACTGTTTATATCTAAGCCAGTTTTTTACATATTTTCATCTAAATGTTGAGTAGTAATCTAGTATTTTGATTTTCAGGAAGCACTCGGAGCAAATTTTATGAACCTGAGAAGAAAACGGAGATCAAATTAAATCTTCCTGAAGATACAAGAATCTCAAAACTCCTGCGTAGATTGAGCAATGAAACTGATCAAGACAACTCATTAGCTATATCTAAAAAGTTGCTGGAGGTTTTACTTATACCTGACAATGCATACTATATACGTAAAGCTTTTCATATTCTCGGTGAATCTATGTTTGAAATTCTCCATGTTTCTCCTGGTCCTATGGCCAAAAAGGAAGCGGCAAGGGCTTTGGGTAGAATGGGTTACATAATGGGCCAGGAAAATGATTACGAACGATTCCTGAATTGGCTATTTAATAAAATGAATAACAGTTACGATGAAATTCAAATACTATTGATGAAGAGTATTCAAGAAACATTCAAACTTGAGGAGGAAAAACCTGTTTTGCAAGGCTATATTGAGAGCATAATTAATAATTTAGTAACGGCTATAGAATCAATCGAAAATGCAGATGTTTTCAAAGCTATTTTGGAAGTGCTAGTTACGATAGTTGAAATGTATCAAACTGAATTTTATGATCAGTTTCGTGATACTATAGATTTACTTTTTGGTTGGCATGTAGATCACACTCAACCTTTAGGAAACATCGAATTCATATCAAAAAGTTTACAGAGAATCTCCCATCATTTCAAGTATAATGTTGAATTTTCTGTTCAACTTATTGAAAATTTTTTGGAGGACATTTCAAACTATGCAGCTCAGCTTGTTGAAACTGGTGATTTGAGTTCACTGGAACATGTTACAGTGCTTATATTAGCTATGAATACAGTTTTAAAATGCCTGGGAACATCCTTCCATCCCACAAATAATAAAATTGTGAAAGTGGAATTTATCAACTCCACCTTAGCCAAAATAATAGGAACAGTAACTGAAACATTAGAATCTTATGTGCCAGATAACTTAACGATTGCTGGAAATGATTGCATTTCTATTCTACTTGGATACCTTGACAACAAATCTCAAAATCTTTGCCATCTTATTTACAAACTTATTGACTTGGAGATTTCAATGTTACAAGATCTTTCTGAATCAACGATCATATCTTTACTTGTTTTCATTTCAAAAGCTGTAAAAGAACTTTCTGCTAATTTACCATTGGAACTGATTGAAAAACTGATTGGACCCAAATCAGAAGTACTCAAATTACGATACTCACCTTTCAAAAACATACAAGATGCTGTGATTTGCGTATATCAAGCATTGCTGAACTTGAAGAACGTTTCATTGCTACAAGAGGCTTACCGTTACGTTTTGGGAGATCTTGAAATGGGATACAAGAAAATAGTGCCAGATATTCAATCTTTCACACAGAGTAACCCTTTTGCGGAATATATAGGTCAGGATGCTGAACATACTGTTTTATTTCTTTTGAGATGTTTATCACAATTAGCAAATGCGAGCTCTATTATTGTGATGTGGGCATTGAAACCCAGCATTTTGGAGTTAGTTGGAATACATATGATACCATTTGACCAGAATTTGGCTAGCAAATCCCCTGCATTGCAATATTGCCTGATTTATTTATTGTTTTCACACTGTAAATGCTATAATTATTTCATTTCAAACAGCAGTCTGGTCAATAACAAACAGGAAATCACAAACCTGAAAAATAGGTAAGTGTTTTAATTTTTTAAATTGAATTATTTCATTGATTAACACAAATAAACGTGAATATTACTGTAGTTCTATCCCTACACCAAACGGTTTTTTTTCCACATCTCGACACGTGTTTCAATCATCAAGTGATCATCTTCAAGAGTTCAGTTTAATCTCTTTCTTGAAGATGATACTTTGGTGATTGAAACACGTGTCAAGGTGTTGAAAATAACGGTTTGGTGTTGAGATATAACTCCAGTAATATTCATTACCACACCAAAGTTTCCAAACAGTGCATCACAAAAACAAATAAACATATATAATTTATGAGTATGTGATGTCTTTCTGCTTTCAAGTTTATATTTATTTATAAAAATATATTGGTAACAACTTTTTAGATAAATCCAGGATTTGAACAATTCTGAAATACTAATAGACTCGTTCATATGGAGAAGTTTTCACTTTTGAAATTCATTTACAGGACAGAAAAACAATAATTATTATCCAAAGATAAATTGAAGAAAAAATCCAAATTTCACTTGTTAGAAGTATAAATGTTGGTATTCAAATGAAATAATGTTTTTGTACTTTTGGATGAAGAAATGTAAAGAATCCAAGTGATCGTGAAAACTATTCACATAAAGGTGCTATTTATACTTTTACTCCATTTTATAGGAAATTGAAAGTGCAGAGAAAAATTTGTGATTATATTTGTCTATGAGAAAAATTCATTTTTATCTACACCGAATTTTAAAATAACAATTACTGATTCTCTATTTGTCTATAGTTTTGTAAAAAGTGGAATTGATCTACCCAGAAACTGTCATGAAAGAACTTTCGCTGATTTTTTTTTTCGTGTATATAAACTACTTCATTTCAATTTTCATTACAATTATAGTGTTCGTTTTGGATGACATATCTTTTTCTGCTCATCATATAATATATTTTTGTTGTAGATATGTTTCGGATAATCATAAAAAGTTTTCTTATTCGAAGTTCATTGTAGAAAATGATCTTAGCAATGGAAAAAATATAAATAGGTACCTGAAAATGAAAAAAAACTCTCGAAAAACTCTACGGTACATAGGAAGACGTGAAAGTTGCCATTGTGTTTTCATTTAAATCAGTCAATCAATTTCCAGGGCCGTAATTTAAAAAGGAATAATGCACCCAGTTATAATCAAATATTACCGAAACATTTCGAAATATTAAATAAAATTTAATTTCTCAGTATGAAGTGAACGTCTACGATTTAAAAACTACAACCAAAAATACAGGTTTGTAAAAATTCAAAGATGGGGGTGGCCCAAGTCAGATGACACCCTATATAAAAGATTCATGGACATATTCTGATAGCCCACATCAAGTGCCAATAGCAAAATGTGTACAGATTTTCAATATGTCTGCGAATAAAGAAGATATAGGCAAAAAAATAATTTGGGATTTTTTGTTTTTTTCTGTATATCTCCAAAACCAAAAAAAGTATATTCAATTTTTTTACATCATTGAATAGGTCTCTAAAATAAGCAACTTTGCCACAATTTAACCATCTCTTATCGTTCACGAGATCCCCATGTACAGAAACGAATTTGAATAGCCCTGTATAATAAAAATTGTACTTTATTGAACACATACTATATAAAAAGAAAACAAATCAATGAGTTCACTAAATTACTTTTAGCTGTGAGTAGGACCGCTCATCTAAAATAATATTATGAAAAGGAAAGATTTGTTTGCATGTAATGCAAAAACTCAAAAACTACTCAACCTTTTTTAAAAAATTAATTCACCTTCTTAAAAATAATCCTAATATAGATCCTTGCAGTACTCAACAGACAATTTTTCAATATGAACAGAGGTGAAAATTCTGATTCAAGTCTCTATAATTTTGGTTGTTATATTAAATCCAGAGGCTTCTTTCTACTCAAATCATCAATTATATCTTCTATGTCATCGTAAGTTACTGGCTTCAAATACATTGATTTTGGATAACTCATTCGTACTACATTTTAAGCTGACAGACCTCAAGAAGCACATCAATTAATAATAATGTACAATAAAAATAATTTTATTTGAATAGGCAACTTTTTAGGGGTGAACTTCTCGATGATTGTAAACAAAAATTTGATATACCAATAGTAGCGGAAAAGTGTAAATCTTTGTATGTGTTCGATAAGTAGACAAAATTCCTGTGATGAATTGTTATCTTATTTTCAGAAAAAATTATTTTTTAAATATATTCAATACATTTTCTTTTGAATGAATTCAACGAATCACATCTTTTTATCAGACCAGAACTATACAAAGAGTCACTACCTACTTGCTCTCTGATATAAAAATTTCCTTTTCTATATCTAGAGGAGTGTGTAGGAATACTATTTGTGTAGGTTACCTGATCACTCAGATAATTTGGCAACATATTGTGTTTAATTTTAATTATAAATATTAGCATATTCAGTGTTATCCTTTGTTTAGCAGACATAAGAGACAGTGTTTCCAACATGTATTTCACAGATGTGGATTTATTACAACTTATTGCCTTAACAATACTTCTTCTAGTTATACATTTTCTAGATTTATTAGGATTCTATATTTTGACTGTTTTGAAAGGGATAAGATATACTCGCTGTAATCAAGTGGAATAGTAATGATAGTAGTTATTGTTTATCTTTTGCAGGTTTGCATTAACAGAAGGACTGAACATTAATGATGTACCCAACACTTCTCCAAATTCTGGCAACTTTGCCATAATTCTCGATGTATTACATAAATCGCTTTGCACTAATACCTCAGCAGACGTAACGTTGCTCCTCCTTCAGTGGTTGAATGATGTTCTCAACAATTCTGAAATGTATCTGGAAAATTTATATATTAATGAAAAGTTCTTGAAACTTGTTGATGCTCTGGTTCATTGCGGATATAATTTCAATGAGAAAATTGTATTATCTGTCCATTACAATCTAGACAAACTGCTATCAAATAAGCAACTGTCTTGGTCAAATCTATTTCTGGCATGCGTAAGTGATTTGTGTAAACTTCACATGAACTCAAATAAACAACTTATAAGAGAATGTTACTCAAGACTATCATCGAACATACCATGGGACATAGCCATAGTTGAACTGAATAGTATTAATTCAATTTACACCATGAAAACAAAGAGCACAACCTTGAAAGACTACAACAATTACAACGTATATTTAGCTCAGCATTTGCATTTGAATGGAACAGTAGATGGTGAAATTTACCCCTTACATTTCAAAACTTTGATGAGCTATTTGCTAAAAAATGAACCTTTGGATTCTACGTGGATGGAAGATATTTTCACTTGTTGTTGGGCTATTGAATCTGAACCTCAAATGAATATGGAACTGTTTTATGAATTAGCTCTCAACAACAGACAAGTTTTGTATAATTGGATTACACTGGAAGCAGCAGAGTTCTGTGTGAATTATAAACTAAGGACTCCTTTAGGGAAGCCAAATGAGACGTTCATGAAAATTGAAGGAGCGCTAAATCAATTGGGAAATGATTTAATTACCGTGAAGAAAGTTGACAGGTAATTATTCATTGTTTTATAGATGATTCCTTTGTTGCATTCTGGAAAATATTCATATATTTTTATATTCTGGATATATTGAACAACAAATCTTATAAAAGAGCCAAGTTTCAGAAATTGAAAAATTGTGGCTTTCTTCTATTGTAAAAATTTCAATTTCTATCCCATTATTTTTTAATTAAGAGCCAGGAGTAATATTCACATCTCTCTCTCTTTCTCTCCAAGTTTTTGAGCGTTGCTTCCTTTCGGTACATTTGTCCATCCTCCTCCTATCAGAATTGATAGGAGTTTCGTCAGTGCAATGCTGCCACCCCTTTTTTATCTAAACTTTTTATTATAAAAAAACACTTAATTTTTTTAGAGACTTTAAGACTTTTTACAATTAATTAACACATTTATTTGGTAAAATCCTGCGTGAATGGGGACAGCAGTTATGTAAATCCACTATAACACTCCCACGTGGACATTCGGTCCATCCCGGCCTCCAACCGGCGTGAATCGGAGTGCTGTTTCTCTTCAACACTTATAGACTGTTCACAAACATGTTTAATTTAATGGTGGCACGTTCTATGACGGCAGACATTCACAAAACAAACTGAGTTTCATCTCCAACAATGGCGACTGCGTACCTTCTTTGTGGACCGTCGCTGTAGGCACGTCCGTCCACCACCACATCAGAAACGAAACTGAATATTCACATCACTTATTAGTTTCCTGGATCCAGTTTGTTTTTTATAATAATAAAAATGTCACCACGGTGGTGACATATAAGTCAAGTCAAGTGTGCATATAAGTCAAAATGAAAGAAAGGGTGGTATACTATAATTGTATATTCTGGATATTCACGGTTTGGCGTTTAGAAAAAAATTGCTCATATCCCCGATTTTTATTTTGAAAAGTATGCACACGATATTCAACCTTGTCACTTCCAGCTTCTTGATGGAGTAAGATCCAGCCCTTAAATCTTAAATGGATTAGGAGATAAGTTATATCTTGATTGAAATATTATTGTCTTCTTTTTTTCAACTGCACTTGCTAGTTTTCGAAATTTGGTGAAGTAGATATCAAGAAAACCATTATAAAAAATGTGGGAAAAAAACGTTCTCTTTTTTTACTTTCACTTTTTCAATGTGTAGTTAGCAGTATTTTTATGAAAAATTGCGGTACTTGCTGGTTTATGATTAATTGCATAATTTGATGCATAAAAAAATAAAAACAGTTTTACTGTTTTTACAGTACATAAAACGTGGCTGATGCTAACGCATGTGCACAGAAAAAATTGTGATACAAAGGCCTAGTAACAAGGTTGAAAAGTTGAACAAAAAATTTCTCCTCAAACTGAAAATCAATGGGTCTAAGCGATTTTTTTCAGTGTCATCAATGTGAAATCAACCTTGTTTTGTTTCTATTAGTACACCCAGTATGGTGTTGTGTTTATTTTATTGACTCCTTCATAAATACTAATAACATAATTTATACATATTATGTTTAATATACACAAAACATTTTGTGAAAACATATTTTTAGAGTTGACTATTTTTATAATAACTTTTCATTATCTAATACTAATGCTATACATTTATTTTGAAATATAACTTACTATTTGGTTGAATGATCCCAGTAGTACATTGTGGAATGTGATGGCTTTATAATGTGGAGACATTTCATAGAATTGAAATAACTCAACTCGTCTGCTGATATTATTGGAATTACTTTCAGGAACCCAGTACAGAACCTTCATCTTTCCCTGTGCTCTCAAGCACCTAATTAAACCTAACTAGATAACTATCTATTCTCACTTCCTATCAGAATCTTTGGAGAAGGGCTGCCAGATTGATTCTGTGTACACTGACTTCTCTAAGGCGTTTGACAGGGTTAACCATAACCTCTTACTCCAAAAGCTCAACAGATATAGTGTAGGTAAGGTACTACTGGAATGGATTAGTAGTTATCTTACGAATAGGACTCAAATGGTTGGAGTAAATTATCACTACTCCACGTTATTCGAAGTAACCTCTGGTGTTCCTCAGGGGTCACACCTCGGTCCCTTATTATTCAATTTATTTATTAATGACATTATTCATTGCTTCCGGCACGCCAAAGCACTAATATTTGCAGATGATTTAAAACTTTTCCTAATTATTAAAACCCCATTGGATGCCCATAGGCATCAGACTGACCTTGACAATCTATCAAACTGGTGCTCCTTAAATGGCATGGACTTGAATGCCACAAAGTGCCATGTCATGCGCTTTTATCGATCCCATGTACCTTCTACCACTTTTGATTACACTTTAAATGGTCATGTCTTGGAGTCTGTTAATCAAATAAAATACCTTGGGGTTGTTCTTGATCCCACCTTGAGCTTCAATCTACATATACCCACGGCTATCCTTAAAGCCATGAAAATGCTAGGGTTTATCAAACGGCTAACCCACGAATTCAGTGACCCAACTGTTATTAAAGCCCTTTATTGTTCACTGGTCCGTCCACACCTGAATTGTTCTTCTGTTCGGTCCCCTCATTTTGTAACATATATTAAGAACATTGAAAATGTCCAACACAACTTCCTCAGATACATAGCATATAAATCGGGTGTTCGTTGCGAATATGAGTTGCTATTGCAATCTATGAGCGTGTCCTCCCTGGAAACTAGGAGGGAACAGAGAGACCTGACACTACTTTTCAATATTATTAACGGCAAATTCAGTTGTGCTGAACTCCTACAAAAAATTTATCTACATGTTCAAAATCACTCAACTCGACACCAACAAACATTTTATGTACCATTTTATTTTTTGAACCACACATTCAATAGCTGCATTCCAAGAATTTTACGATTATCCAATAGTAACGTTGATCTTGAAATGTTTAACATCTCCTTGCATCATTTTAAAACTCATTTACGAAATACTGTGCTTTAATGTTTTAGTGTATAATTTAAGGTAGTATATGCGATATATGTTTTATTGTCGCTCATTGTTTTTTGTCATTTTATACTCTAAAATTTACCCCTTTTATACTTCAAATTTACCCCTTTTAAGCTATTCTCAGTTGCAATTTGTAATTCAGTACCTTATCTGATTTTATTTCAATTATAATTTAACATTGTTTTTATACTTTAAAATAAATGGGCTTGCACGTGAATGAATAAATAAATATGTACTTGGTACAACAAATCCTTTGAGCTCATATGTGTTTGTTGTAACTTTGAACTTAAGTTAAACGATATTGGTCTTTTTCGATTGGCATCTGGAATCATCAGTGATTGACGTAATTTGTAAAGTGTTTATGCCTTTATTAATTTTATCAAGCTACCAACTGTACCCTGAAACACAACCACTTGACATATCGCCTGTCAGTTTTATGAACCCCTGATGAAACCAAACTATCGCAGTTTGAATTTTTATTAGGGTTGGATTGAAGGGTTAGTAAACCAATAGCTGCGGTTGGTGATACTTATTTATTTATTTACTCGTCATCTTTGAAAGCGCATGCTCATCAAAATTCATTTCATTTACTTTTATTTAATTATTGATTGGTGCAAAACACGTGGTGCTGTTCCAGTCTATAATACTTCAAAAGTAAAGCTCGTATGATCTTCATGTTTCCCAGTATTGCACTTATAATTTGTTGCAATGCTGAAAATTTAAGAACATAAAACCATTTTCTAATATGTTTTCATACATTGAATTATTGAACCAATTGAATCAATATTCTGTGCAATTTAACTAATTTCATTAGTCTTTTAAAATGATCTCTATTTAACTTCAAATTATGAGATAGACAACTAAAAGTTTGTCACCTCATGATAATGATAACTAGGTTAGCTAAACACGGGTACAAAGACAGTGCTCTAGGTCGGTGTTTTAAAAACATGTTTTCATTAGATCTACATTATTTTTCAAGTTAAAATATTCAAATGTTCAACATATTCACATAAAAGTTTGTACCCTGCAAAACTTGTTATTTTGTGTCTGTAAAACGTAATGTCATAAACAAATATTTATATCTTCTACCTATTTGATTTCAAATTTTTTTCTATTCAGGAAAGCTGATAATGTGCCAATGGGAAACCGAGTAAGAATGTTACTCAGATTTGTAGAACACTTAGAAAAATCTATCTACAATGCATCAGAAGGTTGCGCGATTGCTATGGTTCCCGCCTCAAAAGTAGTCCGATCATTTTTCATTGCAAATATGAATACTTGCAATGAGTGGTTCTGCAGAATCCGAATTGTTATAATGCACATTGCTCTTCACTGTGGCGAAGTGAATATAGCACTTCGAAATGGACAATGCTTCCTGAAAGACTATGTTTCTTTGGGTAAAACAAATAATGTAGAATTTGAGAGGGTTGCAATGATCATAACATTAGCATATTTGCATTTGAAAGAACCAGAGGCATTGTACGGTTTGTACACCTGGTGTAAAACGACGACAGGAAAACGTTACTCTTGGATTAAGTGTGCAGCAGAACAGGCCTCAAAAAAATACGAATTAGCCGTAGAAGGTTACAAAAATATTTTGGAAGAGAGAGGAGATAGTGAATCAATAGATAAATACAAAAAACTCGATGTGGATATACAAAATTTTATCATGGATCAAATTATTATTTGTTATAAAGAATTGAGTAACTGGATCGACTTATTTGACTGGCATTCTAAACAGGGAAATATTGAAAATGGTAGAAAATACTGGTTCAATGTTACGGATTGGGAATGTAATAAAGTCTTGTGTGAAATGGAGTCAAAAAATTTGGCGTTCACTGAACTAGCAACTTGGAACAATGAAGAAAATTCTAATGCATGGAGCATTTATGAAAAATTATCCAACACAGAAAGCAATTTGTACAACATAGCGCTGAAACTAGCCATCAGTAAAGATGACCATTGTATTTTGAAAATTGATGAAAACATGTTGATTATCCAAAATACTATTGAAGATTACTTACATCTGGCTCCTTCAACTTTCCTACAAAACTATTCGCTTCTACACTATGTAGCAAATGGTCTGAAACATGTAGCCCAGGAGCGTTTAGCTAATACGGTGTTCTTGGTATCAGAAAATTTTGAAAACGAAATCCCCAAAATAGAGTCTTCTATCCTGAGGAAGATTCTTTGGTGGTCTGAATATTTTGGAAAGGTGCAGAACCAAGGATTCAATATATTCTGCAGTAACTTACGCTTGGACATCATTAAGAGAGCTAGAAAGGAAAAGAATTTTAGCATGGCCATTAATCATATCCATAAATTTTTTAGAGATAAAGACTTGCTAGTTGGACCACAGAATAGTTTAACTGATGTAGCAAATTTGGTAATTTTGAAGGTACAAGACACTGCTGTATGGACAGTCGATATTGCCAGAGCTATTTTTGAAATTATTAAAGTATCTTATGCTCATGAGCAAGACTGTAACCAGACTTTCAATTTGTGTGCTGTTGCTTCTACTGCAATATCAAAAAATGCAGAACTGTATGGTGTCAATGAATTACGCAAGATAAGTAGCAAAATTCTGTTGAAATTGACTAATTGGATGCAAACAAATGAAAATGTATCTTTGATGGATATGTCTAGTCCCTTAGGAAAACTAATCATGGTATTGCCAGAAATTGGGATGGTGGAAAATGTAGCTTCTAATATTATACCAATGAACGAGATTGCTATAGGAAAACTATTGCAATTTAGTGTTCACCACTATGGTAGCTTGGCCAAGAGCTGGAACATTTTTGGCACTTGGTGTTACCGTTGGGGTAAAAAAATCGTTGATCACAGTAGCGATATCAAAAATAACTTGAGTGAAGATCATTGTATGGAAATTAAAAGCCTGTTACCACCGAATACTGCAGAAAATGACTTAACCAAAATATTCCTTATTTTATCACAAACTAGAAACATAATTGACGAAGAAGACATTGACTTGAACGAGATCAAAACTTCGGAAATGATACAGTCACAGTTGAAGTCTGTCAAAGTTTTACATAATGCTTCAGATCATCAACTGCTGAGCTTGGTGCAAATTTGGAGAAGTACTCAGAAAAGAATTTACCATTATTATGCGCTCAGTGCAGATGCCTACTTCAAGTACTTACATTTAGTCTTACAATCGGAGAACATAACAAAAAGTACAGAATGCAGTACTATTACAGTTACTCTTAGACTTCTTAGGTTGATAGTCAAGTATGCTCTTGAATTACAGAGTATTTTGGAGGAGGGACTGCAAGCTACTCCAACCCAACCTTGGAAAGCCATTATTCCTCAACTATTTTCAAGACTAAACCACCCTGAAAGTTATGTACGACACAGAGTGTCTGATCTATTGTGCAGAATAGCTGAAGACGCACCTCACCTTATTACCTTTCCTGCTGTTGTAGGAGCCCTTGAAGGTGGCTTGAAATTTGACTTCTCAGAAATAACTTTACCCAAAGATTGTTTGTCACAAAATAACGAATCATGCGAAGATAACGAACCCATTGAAGAAGACGATAACAATTATGAGAGCGATAATGAAGGACAATCCAATAGTTTGCAAATCTGCTTCAAAACTATGGTGGATACTTTGAGCAAACAGGATCCTGAAACAATTTCTCAGGTAAGTGACTCATTTTTATGCTTAGATTAAATTTAATATCTGTCTCCCAAAAATAAAATGTGATGAAATTGGTCTATACTCGATGAGAATCCATAACTTATTCAAGTAATATTTTATTGTGAGATTTTCACTGGATAGTTTACAAAACCGTAACACGTTTTTTCACATATAGTCAATGGGCATACTTGAAGACTAGCTATAAATCAAATCATCTAAAGAAACAATTCGTTCAGGCCAGTTTCAACTCCCTACACTGTAGGTTAATGGACTGACACCTAACAGAAAACAACTACTCCCCTGGCTAATATCACGAAGGGTGTTGTATTATATCCAACAAGCGTCAGTGCAGGAATCTTCACTGAAGTTATTCCTGCATATGCTGTTGGCGATACAACTGCTGCAATAGATTTTCAATTATTGGAACACAGTTGCAGACAGGTTTCGGGCTGTTTGGCCACTCGTCAGTGCAAGGTAGTATCTATCATCAACATGAAGTCGATGATTTCCGATAATTGAAAATTGAATTCCGCAACATGTGTTTTGCTGTTCTTGAATTCTTTTATTATTATCATTTATATTAATTTTATTGCTAAATATGATATTTCAATACTCATTATCCTATTCCCGAAGAAGACAAATCCAAAACCGCAAAAATCATAAAAATTGGTCCAGATGTTCTTGAATTCTTTTATCATTATTGTTATTTCTGATAAAATATATTCCAATATTTACTTTTCTATTCTTGACGAAGACAAATCCAAAAAGACAATAATCATAAAATTCGGTCCAACGATTCTTGAGTTCTTTCATTATTATTATTTCTATTGGCAAAATATCATTTTTCAATACATATTCCGTGTTAGGAATCACACGTTAAAAGGTAAGACCTCGTTAGTCCTTAGCTCGCACAAGTTTCTCAACTTCTGAGAGTTGTCGTTCGTATGGGGGCGGCAGCTGATTAACGGAAAAACAGATTTTTTTAAACAGATATTTTTGTCGGGTACCGCAAGGCATCTGAGCAAATGCAAGATGAGCTCATGCGAAATTGTATTTAATGCCTTACGGTTATCGATTCGGGCCATAGAGAGGTTACGCTTATATTGTATCGAGTCCTGCTTACACATCTATCGATGAGCAGGTTCTCTTTACATCCAGCGCGAGTTCTTTTATTATTTTCATTTTTCTTTTTTCGTATTTACTTACCTTCTGAACCTTTCCTGAACTTCCGCAAATAATCAAAACCAAAATTAGCCAAATCGGTCCAGCCGTTCTCGAGTTTTAGCGAGACCCACCAACAGCAATCCATTTTTATAGATTAGAATTTACAGAAATGTAACCTATCAATGAATATGACTCACTTTCAAGTTTTCCATTATCGTCTGCGAAATTGTCAGAAGCAAATGTCAAATGCAAATCAAGTAATTGCAGTTTTTTGCAATTACTTGATTTCTTGCGTATGTAGACAATCTCAGTGTGATGACTTCCTAATCTAGATTTGCAGGAAAACTTTACACCTCATCTCCTACAAATTACTCTAAGAAAGCAAGTGATGTACCATTTAATATTATTGACAAGACCAGGAATCGGAGAAGATTCTATTCTACTACAGAAAAACGCACAAAATACTCCTAAATTGTAGGAAATAATCTAATAACACTTGTCAAGTATTTTAATCAAGCAATAATTACTGTATGGAAAAAATTATGGTCAGTGTAATCATGCCATAAGCTGAAATATGTAGTGGATCCTTTAGATCCTCCACTTGATAGATAGATATATTTTCCCCACGAATACATATATAAATACATTTATGGCATGTCAGTATATAAATAGATACAATATAAGGTATACAATGGATAAAATAATACAATAAAACATATAATATCTTGACAGTGTTACAGACAATCAAGTGAGGTATAAATAAATAGCATAAACAGAATGGAACATTCCAGAGAAGCGATGTGTTGAGTGCATGACTCAGTTGCTTTGTTATGACAAGAAACTCGTCTGTGGAGTAAAAGCAGTGTTCAAAAATATATTTTTTGTACGTTTTTTGGACTGACCGAAAGATAGTGATTTGATTCTCTCCGGCAAGCAGTTATATAGATTGATATTCAGAGAATTATCTTGAGATTTAGTTAATCTATACCTTGGAGTTTTTAATAACTTAGCATACCTAGTATTATGGTCATGTAAATCTGACTTGGTTTGTAGCTTTTTGACATTTCTGTGTATTTCTAATGAGGAATTGTAGATATATAATGAAGGTAAAGGCATGATGCAAAACTTTATAAAGCTAAAATTCTTACTGCTTTTTTTTGTTGTCAAAAGATTGTTATTGCACGTGTCGCATGTCATGAGAGATTGGATAAATCCAACCTCACTCACAAGTCAATAAAAATATTCTCGTACAGTCAAGCGGCGTTGGAAGCTCTTGGCTCCTACCGAGCAACGTCTAAATTGGTAGCAAACTGCCAAAAAAAGACTCTCCTCGATAGGAAGACTAAACAGATTGTCTTTGGTCTGGATTCCTGGTCATACTGGCCTGGAAGGCAATGAAGCTACTGACTCTCTTGCAAAGGAGGGTGCTGCAAGTCGCTTCATTGGACCAGAACCTGTCATTGGCATCGCTTTGGGCTTTGTCAAACAAACACTTAACACCTGGATGGCAACTGGATTCCAAACAGTTGTTGGACTACAGTAGGGATGAACTACGATATCTAACAGGCCTTCTTACAGGTCACTGTCATTTGAATCGTCACATGCAGAGACTTGAACGGTCGGAAGACAGTGTGTGTCGTCTCTGTCTGGAAAATGATGAAACTGCAGAGCATATACTTTGTGCCTGCCCCGCTGGGGATCGAATCAGGTTCTTTGAGTTCGGCAGATCCGTACTCTCACCATCTGACCTGAAAGACCACTCACCATACAAACTAATCGGCTTCGTTAAGAAGCTGGGTTTATTTGGCCGAGTGTGAATAGGTGTGAGCCACAATAAACCCTAATGGGTTGCGGTGGAGGGTCGAATAGACCCACTCACTTTAGACGTACCTACCTACCTGCCATATGTCATTCTCAGAGTATCAGGTTGAATTGCTTTTTTCAACTGCCTCAAGAGAAACAGAGTACTTGCTAATTTGTTACAGAGTGTTATAGAACACTAAGAATCTAAGATTGTTTTGCCAATACTGTAAAGAGTGATACCCAAAGAAAAATATAACTCAAATTTCTTATTAACATGGCAATTAAATCATTTTGTTGCACACTTTAAATAATGCAGATATTTCTAATTCAAATTGTTTTCAGGTTCAAACATTGGTCAAAGAACTTAGGAGGATCACTTTACTCTGGGATGAATTGTGGTTGGGTACTCTTGCTCAGCACCAGTCCGAGATTACTAAAAGACAACACCAATTAGAATATGAAATCGAAAAGGTAAATGAGAATATCAGTTTAGACAAAGAGGAAAAGGCTTCTTTGATCATTGAGAAACATCGAATTATCATTAAACCTCTTATATTCATTTTGGAACAACTTCTGGATGTCACAAGTGTTGAGGCTGAAACTCCACATGAAAAACAATTTCAAGAAAAATATTTGGATGATATAATAAGTGTCATAGCGAAGCTGAAAAGTCCTGATAACCCAGAAAACCCGCAGGAGTCCCTGCAACCACTGAAATACATACAAAAGAAATTCCAACAAAAGTTCCACAAAAGAGCTTCCTATTCATTGAAAATGCAAGACATCAGTCCTGTACTGTATTCCATGAAAGATACAGTAATTGCCATGCCTGGTTTGGCCCTAACAAAGAACATCACAGTGTCACATGTTTCTAACCTAGTATCTGTTCTACCTACTAAAACTAAGCCTAAGAAACTGATGTTTCAGGGATCAGATGGACAAAATTATACATATTTGTTCAAAGGATTGGAAGATTTACATTTAGATGAAAGAATCATGCAGTTTCTGAGCATAACCAACACCATGATGGCACAGATTGCTGATCCATCTGGTCCTAACTTCTACCAAGCCCAACATTATTCAGTAATACCTCTGGGCCCTAGATCAGGCTTAATATCATGGGTAGATGGTACGACACCCGTTTTTTCATTGTACAAACGGTGGCAACAGAGAGAAATAGTTAAACCAAGCTCTAAAACTGCAGCAGGTGTTAATGCAAGTGTGTTGAGACCATCAGAACTCTTCTACAATAAACTCAACCCACTGTTGCGTGAGCATGGTGTTAAAAACATTGATAATCGTAAAGAGTGGCCAATCAGTGTCCTGAAACAAGTATTGACAGAACTTATGAACGAAACTCCTAGTGATTTGCTTTCAAAAGAATTCTGGTGTAACTCGATAAGTGCTGACGTTTGGTGGCAAGTGGTTAAACGTTATTCTTATTCGGTTGCAGTAATGAGTATAATCGGTTACATTATTGGACTCGGAGACAGACATTTGGACAATGTTTTGGTTGATTTGACGAGTGGAGATGTAGTTCACATAGACTATAATGTATGTTTCGAAAAAGGAAAAACTCTACGAGTACCCGAAAAGGTTCCATTCAGATTGACACCCAACATCAAAGAGGCTTTGGGAGTTACTGGGGTGGAGGTGAGTGTATAAGTTTTTTTATTGCTAAATTGTTGGTTTACTTTTGCATTTTCTGCATTTCTGGTGTTGAGTATTTAAAGAAATTCAAATGTGTCACTGTTTTTCGAGCTTGAAAGCCGTGGATTTTTGGAATTTCTTCCAGACGTTTCGCTGGCGCGAGTGGCTAGCTTCTTCAGAGGTTTAACCATCATGGCTTGCTGTCCGATGACTAACTTTTAGGCTTCATAAAGCATATTTATGCCTTGTCAGGTAATCAGTTGTATTGGTACCTGTATTTGTACCTGCACTTGTAACTGTACTTGTACCTGTAAATACACTTTATGAAGCCTGAAAGTTAGTCATCGGACAGCAAGCCATGATGATTAAACCTCTGAAGAAGCTAGGCACTCGCGCCAGCGAGACATCAGGAAGAAATTCCAACAATCCACGGCATTCAAACTCGAAAAACAGTGACACCGAAAACCTCAGCCGGGAAAGTAAACCATTTTGTGAATTCAAAATGATTTAATGGCCCATATAAACATTCATATACTAATTCAACAAATTCCAATTTTTCCCCCACTTCCCTCTGTGCTACACTATAAACAGTTGGGGTTATTAAATACATTTTTCATAGAATTTCAGTTATAAGAAAGGTTGCCAATATTACCCTAAACGAGTACACATGTGGACAACACTCGATTCTACTTGAAAACATTGTTAGAAAAAAATTGTGAACATAGAAAATAACATCATTAGTGGTAGGGGTCAGTCCAAATAAAATCGTCAAAGCATCATACACTTATATTAGGCTCTGTTTAAAGAAATGAACGAATATTTTTAGTATAAAGATGGAGAATTAGAAAGCCAAAACCTTTCTTCCCAAAAAATATGTTTTGCGAATGATTGGATTATATCCTATTCAAAAGATAGAAAATAGATTGTTGTATCAAAAAATAACAAGTTGAAAGAAGAAGTAATCGTTTTGGGTGTTCTACAAGGTTCTATAATGTTCACGGTACTCTTCATAATTTTTATGAATGATATATACGATCAATTCAGTTCCAAATGCACAAAATATACCTTTGCTGACGAAATCAACTTTTTTTATCTCAGAAAAATAATGTATGATAGATTACTAAGAACTGATATTGTAGCGTTTTATTCATATCAAATCACATGTTTGATTTTTATTTTACAGTGGCTTACGTGATATATTGTTAATTATCAGTTATTTCCTTCATAGAGGGTTTTGGACAATTTTCGTTTGTAGCTCATTGATACAATTTATTGTATGATTTCCACTATAAAGGGTTTTACAAAAACCGCGACATTTGTTTCGCTATACAATAGCTTTCTCAAGCGTAAAATAATCCCATGTCGCGTTTTTTGTAAAACCCTTCATAGTGGGAATCATACTATAAACTGTATTAATGAGTTTTAATATGTATTTTCATGAAGTATCGGCCAGTTCTATTCAATTAATTTTCATTTATAATGACTCTTAATGTATTTTCCGTCAAAAATTGATTCTATCACACCTCGTAGAACAAACAGTATGCCTACGAGAATAATGAGTTTTACTCTGGTCAACTTGAGGTAAAGAATGATACCCAAAAAGTCTACTATACTTTTTTTAGTTTCGGATATATACGAAAAAAAAAAACGAAATTTTCCAAATGCTATTTTTTGTTGTATCTTCTTCACTTGTAAAAATATTGGAAATCTGTTCCCACTTCGCTTAGCCACTTTCATTGTACTATCAGTGCATACTGACTTGGGGTACCTTCAAATTTGAGATTATTAAGTCAGACCTGTATATCTTGATGTACAATGTTTATTTGATATCGTAAAATCAAAATTGTCATTATTATTATTATTTATTACTCTCCTGATAATAGCTTGAATGAAATCAAATCTTTTTCTATTTATTTACCAACACCACCTCAACAAACACCTGAAATATGATGAAACACAAAACTTTAAAATTTCCAATGAGATTTTCCTATGTCGTGCAACTCTCAATAGTTCAAGTAAATTTTCTATGTCTTGCGGTGTCAGTCACTAATGAAAAATAAGAGTTATTGTTTGAGAGTAATGGGTTGGTACTGACCTCAAACTGTAAATGAACTCATCTTTCTCAATTCAAAATTGACCTGAAGTTTCTGTGAGTTTTTTTTTAAAGAACTTTATTCAGATAATGTAATCATGGTTACAATAAACATTTTAAATAGTAATTGACATAGCAGCACTATCCAAAAAAAAGTTATCCAAAACAGCACCAACATGCTGGTTCTCGGAAAACTAGCTAAAAACAATATAATAATACTTTATGCATTACAACAAAATAATATTATCAAGATTCACTTGAGAATACATAATACAAATGTGAATAAAATAAAAAACTTAATAGTAATTAATACAGATAATTAAATAGATTTAAGCCGTTCCTTCGTTGAGTATGCTAGTATTAAAACTCTTTATTTTATTCTTAAAGATACTGAAATTAGGGCTATCTGTTATTTCCTTGGGAAGGGAATTATAAGTTTTCATGCATTGTGTAATGAGATTATTTAAGCCAATATTAGTACGTGCAGGTTCTAAAAAGACATTATAATGGGTACGAGTATTGTATTCGTGGAGATGATTAACGAAAGTGAAGTTGGTATTACATTTGACTTGTTCATGTATAACCTCGTATGCAAATTTACCTTGCTCGATTTCTAGAACATCCTGAATAGGCAGTATCTTTGTTACACTGTATAAAGTATCAGCTGAGGTTCTGTAGTCAAGCCTGAATAACATTTTCACGACTTTGTTTGGAAGTATTTTTACTTTTTTGAATAATGTCTGTCCACATGTATCCCATATAGGAATTAAATAGCTAAAAATTGATAAGAAATATGCACTGTATATTTGATGGAGTGAAGATGGGCGTAAGTAGGTTCTACAACGATATAGGGCACTAACCATTGGAATTATTGGAATTACTTTTTTTTCCTACATGGGTGATATGGTTATTCCAGCATAGGTTTTCATCAACTATTAGTCCCAGATATTTGGTATTATGGACTCTTGTTATTTCTTTGCCTCCTATCTCCAGTGTGATGTCCTGTTGTTTCATGTTTTTCTGAGAGAAGATTATAAAAGTAGTCTTCTTTACATTGATCTGAAGTTTATTTTTTACAAGCCATCTGTGATACCTTTCAAGGTCGGTATTTACTAGTGTTTCGAGTTGTTTCATGTCTTTACCCTTATATACAAGAACAGTATCATCTGTGAATCTACCTATAATGTAGACTGATCCTTGGGGCACACCTACTTTGGTAGTTTCAGTTTGGCTTGAAATGTCATCAACCATTATGAATTGTTTGTGATCTAGAAGATATGTTTTAAGTAAAGAGAGAGCATTTCCTCTTATTCCCATTTCTTCAATTCTTTCAAGTAATATAGAGAAATCAACAATATCAAATGCTTTTCGTAGATCAATAAATACATCAATAGTGTAGTATTTATCATCCAGTGAAGAAGCAATGTGGTTAATGAAGTCTCACTGTTTTTCGAGCTTGAAAGCCGTGGATTTTTGGAATTTCTTCCCGACGTTTCGCTGGCGCGAGTGGCTAGCTTCTTCAGAGGTTTAACCATCANTTTTTCTGTATTCGGAAATCCCTGAGTATATCCTGATTAAAAGGATGTTTTATTTTTTCTGAATATAATTTATCACGTTTTTTTATTAATTCTAGAAATTCCCTTGTAATCCAATCCTTACCTTCTTTATATTTTATTTCATTTCATTTGCATATTCCATCTAAAAAAATTTTCGACAATAGGTATCTCTTTTGTTTGCATTGCTTATTTTAATGAAATTTCCGAATGGCATTCAGAAACTTCATTTAAGATTCAAAGTAGGAAAGATACATCTACTTGCAAAGACAAAATCAACACCAGCATATTTTTCTTGAATACCGATTTATATTTTCTCATATTTTCCAACCAACAATGCAGATCCCAAGAACAAAGCATTCATGATCCAACACCATATAATGTTGTTTTGACCTGCCAGGAATGCAATGTTGGACTCCGCTGTCCTTGAAGGATTAGCCTGACTATAAGTAAGCGTGGACAACTCCCCTTACGAAGACACTCCAAGGCGGTTTGTTGCAAAGCAAAGCTTCATTATCGACTGTTTTTGGTCTCATCTAGTTGCCTTGCAATTGAAGTTGCCGTGAAAAAGATAAACAAACAATTTCTCATTCAGCGGTCCATATCATTTTGCAAGATACTGTCATGGGAATAGTTGTTCATCATTGATGAGCAAGATTTAAATTTATTTACATATTTACATATATTTTGGCTTGTCTTAGCAGTTTGAGGTCAAATAAATAATTAGTACATTTTACTACTGATTGACTCCCGATCAAACACCGCGAGATGGATGATAAACACAAAGCTTGAATTGTTTTAAACCTCCGGAAGAAAGTACAAATTGGAAAAACTCAATTGGAAATATTAGATTTGCGACATTGACACATGATATCAGGGCTTGGATAAAAGAAATTATAATGTATTTTATGATCATCAATCTGTTTTAAAAAATCTGTTTTTCCGTTAATACCTAAACTCTTGGGAATATCTAAAGAACTTCAAATTCAAGATATCATATTAACAATTTCTATAACAAAAATTACTACAAAAACTTTATACTCGTATTTAAAATGTCAAAGTTGAGGGTGCCCAAGTCAGACAACACCCTGTGTAAAAATTGTACGATCAAATTATGAGAGTACAATAAAAGTTACTATTGTTAAGTGTAAAGGGATATCCAATATTTCTGCAAATAGAGAATATACAGCAAAAATAGAGTTTCAAAATTTTTGTTTTTTTTTCTTCGTATCTTTGGAACCAAAAGGGTTAAATTTGATTTTTGCTATCGTTTTACTATAGTCCCTGAAAATAGGCAACTTCGCCACAATTGGTCTTCGACTGTGACTTGGCCAAGGTCACGCTCAACTCTGCTTGTG